ACACACGTGAAAAGTGATATACTCACTCTCTCTCTCTCTCTCTCACTTCTCTCTCTCTCTCTGTCTGTCTCTTACCCCTCCTCGCTTTGACTCCTGCTGTGTGTTGCTGGTGCGAATTAGATTAAATTGCAAACTGCTTGGCAACTTGTGCGCTTAGTTTAACGACCATCGTTTGCTAAACTCTGTTGACTGCAAATACGCGATAAGCTTGTCAGCACACTTGTCGCCAATTCACAATCAAGGCTTGGCCATATCCCAAAATCATGTTAGCCACATGATATAAACATCACACATCAGTCTGCACTTCAACAACGTGACTCGTTCCCTGCCCATAACAACGACCACTGCAACCAATTGAATGGCAATCAATCTTACAACACATCTGCATGTAATACATATATAGATATTTATTATGGTATATGGTACAGCTCGAAAATAATAAGCAAACCAGTTCCATTGTCTGGCCAACTTATGTGCTATTCGAACCAGCCAATTAGCATTAAACACTGATTTGCTGAAAAATGATTCGTTTTTTTTTATATGATATGAATTGAATGCAATTATGTAACTATAGTTACAGCGAATTCATAAGCTGTAAATGTTGTGCAAGTAGTCTTTCTTTTAGATGCAGGCAGTGCAAGTAGTCCAACAGAGCAAACACATTTTTGGTCCCAGCCTAAAGATATGCTGTCTATTCGAAAATGCTTTGAGACACTTTAAGAACGGCTCAAATTTCTTGCTAGCTTCATATTCTTGATTCCTTCGAGGCTTATCACATAACGTCAATTAACAAATTAACAACAATCATCAATTTTTTATCTGGGATTGAAGTACTCAAGTAAAATCATTATAATACATAATATCATACCGAATGTACATACGCAAATAAACTTTAATTTATATATAGATGGACTTTATTAAAATTGATATAAGATACGCAGATTTGAAGCAGAGGGTCAACATTTTTAATTAAAATTTAAAGTTAGATTTTGTCACAGTTATCTAACACACAGATTTCCCAATAGTTGCAGCTTGCTGACGCAACTTAGATTTGAAAGTTTTGCTCAATTAAACAATTCAAGGATGACAACAATATTTCTAAAATTCAAAATAATCAATTTATAACAGTCACACTCTGTCGGCCACCACATGACACATCAATTGACAGGCCTGCTCAATATTGTCATTCAATAAACACAGCTCGCATTGTGCGGTTTTGGCTCTGAAATCAATTGCAAGCGCATTTGTAATGCTTTGCACGCACTTTTGTGCCTGGCCAGACACACTTTCATTTTGATACCCTTGCAAAGAGTACCTCACTTTTGTCGTTCCACAAACTAAATGAGTTGCTCTAAGTAAGTTTGTCTGTGCTTCTGCTTCTATGCAATCAAGTCTCTCAGTTTGGAGACATCCTACTTGACGCAAAGTGTCAAAATCAATCGGATATGACCACGATAACGTATATTTATTTATTCATCTAGTCTAAAACCTTAAGCTAATTTAAAGAGTTTGCTTTAAGTAAGAAGACTCCAATTTAAGATGGTAAACGTATTTCACATTTAATATTCTATATTTTGTCTTAGTTGAAGTTGGAGAAGAATGAGGGCATATCGTATAGAAGTCTAAGAGACTATTAAACAAGAGACTTTAAATTTCGAATGTGATTTCTCGCAATTCAAGTTTCTTTCATTTTATCGATAACTTTCCTCATTCCACGAATATCGATATCGACTGCACATCTTAAACATGTTCGACTACTGATAGATAATGACTTGCGTTCAGGGTATCTTCTAACCGAGCACTCTCGACTAGAGCATTCTTACTTGCTTTTGTTGTCGATATTTGCCACTCATATTTGTGGCATGTTAATTAGCCGCCAAGACGAGCGGCTGCTTGCCAATGGAATTGAGTTCAACGACGACAACAACTACAAAACCAACAACAACAACAACAACACCAGTTACCGCAACAGCGACTGCGACTGCGACTGCGCTTGTGCATTTCGTTTTTAATAGTTTGAGTTTTTTATGTAGTTGGCCTTTTTTCGTTTCTTTTTTTTTTCTCTCAAAAGTCTTGTGTTACGTAACCGGCATGTGGGCTGCCGAGTCATTTATGTTTTCTGTTTGCTCCACTCGCAGCCAGCTCTTGATGTGTAACTTTTAGGCCAAGTCTGCAGAAGGTGTCTGTGTGTGTGTATGGGAACTGTTGGCCAAGTATGAGAAGTCAGCGTCAACCGGTTTTCACATTACACCATTCGTTGTTTTTTTTTATTTTGGCAGTACGCTTAATAATGCCAGGCATTTACACTCCCAGCACGTCAGAGGCGGCGATATGAATGATTTAGTTTGCTGCGGTTCAGTGGCCTTTCTAATGTCTTATCCCAGTGTTTAGCATAATGCGAACGCGAAGAGTAATTCCTGGCCATAATTATTATTTGCAACGCAAATATATTGCCAAAAACTTCAAGACTGGCTAACAAATCGAAATATTTCGCGATCAAATGCGGCTCATTATGTTGACATATTAATTGGTGTGGCAACCGAGGCACAATGAAGAATTTAAAGAAAGATCTCGTTTCCCTCGTGAAACTTTAGAGCCAATCAAAAGCAACCCAAAAGTTGAATTTTTAAGCCAAGCTTCTTATAATAATTAGTAAATGCAGCTGCAAGCCAGTTAACTATATGTAAAAAGGCTTAAACATGCTATATTGACAGAGAAATCAAAGTTGTTATAATAATTTCAGTGAGTTAATTATAATCTTAAAAATGCTTTTGAAAGTTTTATACATTTACAAAGATTGGATTTTTTTTTAACAAATCTTTAATATTTATTTAAACAGCTTTGTGAAATTTTCCAGTTGAATTCAATATGAGCTGACCATTTGCATAATTGTGTATGCAAATTCAAGCAGATAGCTGGAAATGCATTTATGCCTCATGCAATCGTAAATCTCTAATTCAATGCGTGACTAAATGGATGAGAAAGTTAAAATGCTTGCTGTGTAAAAAAGTGTGGCTTTTATTATCATTTTTGTATTTTCCGTCGTTTGCTGCTGACCAATTGCGTGACCGAAGCGTCGGTGTCAACGGTTCAATGAACCAAAAGCCATTCTCTGCCGTCCGCCTCTGTTGGCCGGGCTAATTATGATAATTAAGCGGCCAAAGCCATGTATTTTGTGTAATATGCAAAACAATGGCTATTCTTTGATTTAAAAACTCGCATTTTTAAATTGTACTCATAAATGCTAAATGCGCATAAGGCCAAAACACCAATCAGCCAACTAACGTTGGCAGTAAGAGGTAAGAGGCTTATATACACAATAAATTATATTTTGGATGATTGTCGAACGTTGATTGTTGCGTTAATTAAGTGACTGATGACTGTTGGGAGAGATCAGCAAGCATGCAATGTGTCTTTCTTTCCCCAGATGTGTCTTTGTTTCGCTCATTAAGCCAAGTTACAAGCAATTTCAAACGGTTGGTAAATTGCTTAACTACAACTAGCGGCATATTTTAGCGCATTTGGCTAAACTTATTGCCAGACAATTACTTATGTATGTTTGTACTTCTGTATATATATGTATGTACGAATGTGTATATGTATATGTATGTATGCACACATATGTAAGTAAAATTGAATAAAGCCATTTTAATCACATGATCATTAGTCATTAGTCTTATACCCTGCAGAGAGTATAATAATTTTGTGCTGTTTGTTTGTAACGCATGCTCAAAAATTATATATATTCCTGATCAGCATCAGTGCCAAGTCGATATAGCCATGTCCGTCTGTTCGCCTATCCTATCATTTAATCATCCTGATGAAATTTGGAACAGATTCGCCTGTAACTGCCATACGAACAATCAATCTAGGATAAAAATCTTTTTGGTTTAAGAAAGATTGTCTAATCTTTTTCTATATTCATCTTTTATATTAATCGAATGACAATAAATATACTTTTTACTCTCTTTTAGCCGCAAAAATGTATATTACATAATTGCATTATAAAAAATGTGTTTTCTATATTTAATCTATGAAAATGTATGTAATTAATATTATTGATTAAATTAACTTTGCCTTGCTCTGTACTTGAGTGAGTTCCCATTTGTATGTAACAAAAATATCCGAATAAATTAAATATATAATTGAAGTGACAACAAAATGCATTCACAAATAAATTTACAATAACGTCATATTGACAGCCGAGGCAATTGACAATAACATCGAAGCTGTTAGCACGATCAAAGTTTTGTCGGTTTTTAAATAAATAATTTTGTTGTAAGATGTATAGTATCTAAATGTGCAACATTGATAAGATCAAAACAAACAACTCACAATTGCAACAAATTAAACGCATAAAATGAAATAGTTGAGTCACTTAACATTTAGTTCTTAGTCAAATAACTAACTAATACTAATGGATAGAGTATATCGTTCTCGAATAGTCTGATAAGGCAAACCCTGTGCTAATCGTTTAGTTGTTAGCACACTAACCAAATGAGTTGTGCTTCGTTGTTAATGATTGGGAGCTGGAATATAAGGAATAGTTGATGATGGGAAGTGATGCTTGTTTTTTCTTTTGTTTGAATAACAAAAACCGAACACTATTAAATCGAAATTTTATAGCTATGGAAATGACGCATCAGTTTTGCGAAGTGCAAATAATTACTTTTATTAAGACTACAGCCAAGTTGAGATACATTTTGTAGAGGCTCGCACTTGTTGAGATTCAATTGTGCTTCGGCCACAATTGAAGTCGTAGCTAAGACCTTGTCCAAAAGCGACTGCCAAATAAGCCGACTTGAGTTTTACGATTTATTGGTAATGATTTTTTGAGTACATTTGCTTGGTACTTCAAGTGCTGAAGTCATATCTAAATTATAAACTGAGCGACAAATTTGCCGACTCACTTTTATTGAAAGAGAGTAAAAGTGTTCATTCACACCCACACACACACACACACACACATATATAAGTTTTTATTGGTGTGCTACACTCACCTTGACAGACGAGGCAATTGACCAGAATTGCAACAGCAACAACAACAAGTAAGTGTGACCATGAGCTGATTAATCCTTTTGCTGCTGATGCTGCTGCTCCTGATGTTGTTATGGTTATCCTCGCTCTTCGCATGCTAGCAGTTGCCATTGTTGCTGCGGCTGCTGTTGTTGCAGTTGCTGATGCTGTTACAGTTGATGCTTCAGTTTGTCCCTGACGACGCGTTTTTCTCCACACTGACGGCGTTTCCATGGCCAAAAATATTTTGCGTTTCACGCAACGACCAAAAATCCACACGAACTTATTTCTGGGAACTCTACTGATGCTATTGTTCTTGTTGTTCTTGTTGTTGTTGTTGTTTTTGTTTGGCTTGGACATGCGCTTGCGTGGGTGTTCCTTGGACAACAACAAAATAGTCGATTAGCAGGTGTTTTTGGGGGAATGTGGGGCTTGTGGGGAGTCTGAATTTCAGGTGGGCTGCTGCTGTCTCTGCCTTAGACTTTAAATCAGTTGCTGCGAACTGATTTCTTTCTTTTTTCTTCTTCTTTTATTGTTGGTGGGTGTCTTCTAGTTGTTGTTGTCAAGTTGGCGGCAAACTGTTGTTGTTGTTGTTGTTGCTGCTCTTATTGTTGATGTATTTTGCTTGTTTTCCGTTCTAATTCAAGGTCTCACATCGTATTATGCAGGCTCCATTATACACACACACACACACACACAGACGCTCCCACACGCAGGCACGGCGTGGTATTGGTGTTTGCTGGTGTGTTGCCTTTGTGTGTTGGTGTCGTCAGCTCTCTGCTTTTATTGTAGTATTGGTATTTGTAAGTTGGTCTACAAAATGGCGAAGGTTTCTATTATGTTTTTCTTTTTATTTTACTCTTGCGTTTTACTGCGGCTGTATAATTGTTTTTTTTTTTTTGGTTTTTTATATTTTAATAATTTTCTTTACTATCTACATAATTATTAATTGAAATTTTTTTTATATTTTTAGCTTATTAATTTCTTATAGAAATTATCTAAGTTATTGCACAAATTTCACTTTGTCGTTATTGTAGTTGGCTTAGTTGTAAATTTATGTTGAAATTATTGTCGATTTCACGTACGATATTTAAGTATTTAAATTAAATTTATAAAATTGAAATAAAAGGTTTTTATTTTGGGCTTTGCCCATTGCTATAGATGCGTTTTCAACGTATTCCACTTTTATTCAGTTATTATCATTGCACACTTTATTATAAACTTCTTAGTAAATAAATCAAAGTTCGTTAAAACTTGTAAATAAGTGTCGTTTTGATTTTTTTATTTTTTTATTTCGATTAATATTGCATATATGTATATATATTTGTCACCGCCAAATGTGTGTGTGGAGCAGAATGAAACGGAAAAAGGCGTTTTAAACGCCGCGGCTCGCAAAACGCGCGTCAGGAACAAGCTTCGGCCTCAGACTGAGTGCCGCGAAAATTCCAATAGGAAGCGTCCGTCGTGGTATGTTTGGCTTCAGCGTGCGGTATTTTTATGGCCCTGTTGTGGACTTAGTATTTTTATACACTCTACAAAATTGAAGTACATTTACTACATCCTTCGTGTTCCAGCGTGTTCTTTACGTTCAATTATGTAGTTCACTCTCTGTTGACGACAATTTTGTGATGATTTTTCTAAATTAAAAAAGTAAAAAGCAGTTACAAATATGATAGTTAATCAGCTAAATGCGAACTTGGTCACACTTATATTTAATGCATTGCACACCATTTTGTATAGATGGCGCCACAAAACAGCGGTTACATTCAAAAAATATACACGATTCACAATTTGACTTTGCTACTTGAATTGTTAAAGAAGTGTTATAAAACATGCAAAGGCTTACAGTAAATTACCCACAAAGTTTGCATGGATGTTTGCTTGTGTATGTGTGTGTGTGGATGCGGTTTTTGTGTTGGTTACTTTCTCAACTTGAAACATTTTCATTTGCATTTGCATTTGCGGTCAGAGTCCCTTTGTCCTGCCATTGGTCTAAAAATAAGCTTTTTACCTGACATATATTGTTGTTGTTGTTGTTATTTTGTGCATTTTTGTTGATTGTTAAGACCCAAAGTCAAACGTGCAACAAAATATCTATTTATTTATACATGAGACATGCGGACGAAAAAGAGAAGTCAATAGGACAAAACTCTAGAATCTTTCAAATATAAATGAACTCAATGAAAAAGAATTACAAGTGTTCATGTTTTTGACTTTAGTTTTTCGGGTATTGATTTGAAATTTTTATTCTGATTTTTTAAATAATAAAATTAACTTAGTTTATCATTCAAATGAGGAAACATAACGTTGACAGATTAAAATAAAAATAAAACTGAGAAAAATTATCTACAACGAGACGAGAAGGCCAGAAATGCAAAGAAACAGACTAAAGTACGTAAATATGTCTTCCTGCATGTTTGTGTATATATGCATGCATGTATGTGTGTGTGTGTGTGTATGTATACACATTGTACATTCAACATACATACTCACACACATATACAAAATGGGGGTTAGAGCAAAGCAGAGCAATGGCGCTTCTGACAGCAGCCGCATATCCGGCAAAAATGGGGAGAAAAACAACTTTTTACTACAACTTTCCCAAGATTTGGGCGCGTAAACAGTGCAAGCTTTCCAGCATCAAGGCCATACAGGGTGCTCATCAAATGCTTGGCAAATGGAAGCAATAACTGCAGAGCGCATGTGCGCTCAATGCAAATAATAAACTAAACCATAAACCATAAACATATCTACAAACTGCATTTTGTATGTTGTAAATGTCTGTAATTTTATATACCAGCTTAACTCATGGCGAACAAATATTTGAAGTACATGCCCCTTTTTAATACTGTTAATGCTTAAATTCAAATTAAAATAAAATGTCTGTAATTGCTCGATTTGCAACAAATAGCATTAAAGAATTTTTGGCGCCACCTATCGAACGACATGCAAGCTAAAGGTGTTTGGCGTGCTACAGCAGTTAGCTTTCATCGTGCACTTAGGACCTGCGCAAAGTCCGCATTTAACAAAACTATGTGACCGTGTGCTAAATAACAGCAGGTATATTGTGAAAATATCGATTTGTTTGCATGTACTTATAAGGACATTAGATTCTGTTAGTGAACTAACAAATTACTCTCAAATTTATTTATAGAAAATAAATATATAAGAGAATATATTTATTAAATAAATAGATACCAATCATTCCTGTATATTAACCAATTTTTTCGATTACAACTCTGCTCTGTTACGGACCTGTAAACCACTCTGAGCCAACTGTCAGTTTTTAAATGTGAGCTATATTTGTTGACTTATACGAATTTGGCTTTAGAAAAAAACTTATTATAATTAAACTATTATTTAAAGGTTTTTTATTACATTTTTTAAACATGCAACGGCATTTAATGTGTGGTGAATAAACTGTTCACTGTTAACAACAGATTGACAAAGTGTTAGCTTTTGGGTGACAGAAACATATGTTAGACGAACGTTAATCGACTTAGTCGATAACATTCTGTTAGTGAAGTTGTCAAGAGCGGACGTGTTTCTGCAGCGTTTATACATTTACAAAATTTTTTGTAATAGGAATATATACAGATTAAACAAAACTGTAAACAAACGCGAAAAACAAACAATGAACTAATGTAAAGACACACCGCGAGTACTCAATAAGCGTGTTCCCACGTGGAACCCCATTTTTTTCGTTTCCTCATTTTATGATGTGTGCCAGTGTGTAAGCAGCTTTTGCTTTGGGCGGCGAGTAAGTACCACAAACACAGACCAACCAACCGACCGACAGACAGACGACAGCCGCCGAGTAGCAGCGGCAACAAACACACACAAAAAAAGAAACAAGAAGCAACGCCTCGGCGACGGCAGAGAGAGAGAGAAGAAAACAAAAAAAATATATATATAAAAAAAAGGAAACAGACAAAATTCAGTCGAGAACAATATAGCAAGCTTTGCCCAGCCATTCCTGGAATTGACCAAATTCGTAAATGCAAAATTAAAGCAAACGTTATTTTGTTTCTTTTAATTATAGAGAAAATTACCGTGAAATTTTAGCAGTACTTAAATATACCCAATATTTTGAACGTATATATGTGCGTTTTCGTCTTTCGTCTAATTTAATGTCGATGTGCGTTAACATTTGCATTCGTTAATTATACATGCGAGAAATTTACAATTTACCAAAACCAAAATACGCGGCTGCAAAAGAAGAAGAAATCGAAAAGGAAAATAGGAAAAGAAAAGAGAACAACCGCATCGCAATCATTATTTTTTGCCAATTGACCAATTGCATTTCGGCAACTTGCAAATTTATTATAAACAAAAGAGCTGCGAAGAAATCATCAATCAGTAAGATTATTCTGTTATCAATTTGAGTTTGCGTGTTACGACAAGTTCAAGCTCAGCTATTATTGTATTCAGTCAAGTTGAGAGGAGGAAAGAGACGCGCGTCGCTTTGTTTTGTGCCCTCGTCGTGGGGCAACAACAACAGCAACAACAAAATCAGCAGCAGCAACAACAATAGCAAAAGCAACAGCAACAACGACGAAAAAAATATAAAAAAGAGTACACATCAGATACAACAACAACAACAACATCATCAACTTAAACGCAAGCGGGAGTGCGGAACAAAAAAAGCGCAGGCAGCGGTAAGTTTATCCTCCTCCCCCCACATTCTTTCCCTTTGTATAAACACCAGTTCAAATAGAATATTGTGCTTTTAATAATACTTTTCACATGCGCTATCGCTTTTCCAACTGCTGCCTGCATTTTTTATTTCTTTTTTGTTTTTATTATTGTGAAATCTACAAGCGGCCATTTGACAACAACAGCAAAAAACCATCTCGATTTTTGAACAGAACCCACACACAAAGACAGGCAAGGCGAGAGAAGAGACCACAACTGGTTTTGTTTACAAACAAGCAAGTGCGAAAATTTTCTCAAACGTGTTTTCGTTTCGCTTTTTTCTTTTTGCTCAGCCGTCTGCTGGCATGCAGTGAAAATGTTTTAATCAAAAAAAAAAAAACAGAAAAGAAAAGAAATATTGAAAACTGGTTTTTCCCCTACATTCCACAAAAACGAAAAAAGAAGCCACTTGTGCCAGTTGCTGGGCCCCCAAACTCTCTGTGAAGAAGAAGATGAGCCTACACTGTGAATGTGGGCCGAGAGAATGTGGCAGCTTCTTCTTTTCTCGACTCTCTGCTTCTCTACTTGTTCCGCCCACACACAGAAAGCGGCTCTTGCTGACTAAGAGCGCCACCTGTTGTTGTGTGTCATCCGAGCAGTTTTTATATTCTTTTGTACTCGCGACAAGTATTCGTATTTATTATTTTTTTTTTTTTCACTTGTATGGTGTGTGCTATTTTTGATAAAAACTGGCGATAAGTAAGTGAGCCATCCTCAACAGTTGTGTCTCGGTGTACGTATTCACACGCCCCATACGTGACATCATTCCAATTCATGAGCTCAATTAAATGCAAAAGCGAGAGAGAGAGTCGAAAACCCACTGCTCACTTTCCTCTCGGAAAGCTTAGAGCATAGAGATTATACAAATGCATATTGCATTGTTTCTAATTTCGATTTCATTGGAAATTCACTAAAGTGGAATTGATTGCTGCTACTCGTTTTCTTTTTCAAATATTCACAGACATCTGATTCGCCTGTGCTTAAATAAATAAAAGTAATTTATAAATTGAGCTGCAATATTTTTTGATATATGTAGTTGTGTCACTTGGTCTTTGTTTAACCTATACAAATGAGTGTAGCAGTGATCTCTCGATAGTTGGAACGCTTACTTAAATATTTGCAAATATGCATATATTTATAATATTAATTATTTTTCTGAAAATGAAGAATGAATCCTTCATTTTAATAACGGGAATATAATTTTTGAAAACACCTTCAAATTGGTCAATAAATATGAATAAATTATTAATTTCGAATTCCCTAAAGCAGCTGCGTTCCAATTTTCGAGTAATTTCTGAAGTTCTTAGTTAAGTGAGTTGGTCAATTGGCAAGTGTTGAAATGTATTTAGCTGCTTAGAGTTTTAAGTTATTAACGCCTTAATAATTTGCATGCGCTACTTTGCTAATTCTCGCACGATCATTCACCGCATTCAATGACCCATGGCTTCTACTTTAATGCGTTTCATTTTCCCCATTTTCATCTTACTAACAATGAAATTTTTGTACATTTCGTTCTGTTCCACCACGACGCCAACGATATTTGTGGCCCCGCCTCCACAAAATGCTCTCTGTCTCTCTCCCACTTTTTTTTATTCCTTACTTACGGTATGTGCGTGTGTGTGTGTGGGTGTGTGTGCGCGCTCGCGTATTTAGATCCTACGAAGGTCCTCCTATGTTCATGTCAACGGGAGGGGGTGGGAAGGGAAAAAAGCCACAGTCAACACACCAGCAGAACCACAACCGCCAGTCCCAGCACCATCAGACGCCACACGCGCACCCACATCCGCACCACCATCATCAAGCAACAAGCCAGCAACAGCAGCCGCCCCAACAGCAGCAGCAGCAACAGCCGCAACAGCAACAGCCGCCGCACATCTCTCATCTGCTTCAGCAGCAGCAGGATCAGCAGCAACAGCAGCAGCCGCCGCCACCGCACGCGGTATTTGTGCCGCAGCCGAGCAGCATCTCCAATCTCGGCAGTCTCCATCACAATCCGCACCAGCACCACCCCCTACCCCAACAGCAACAGTTGCAATTGCAACTGCAGCAACAGCACCAGCAGCATCAGCAACAGCTGCAACAGCAGCACCACCAGCAACAGCTGCAACAGCAACATCATCTGCAACAGCAACAGCAGCAACATCATCTGCAACAGCAGCCAATCATCTTCTATCAGCCGCCGCCGCAATTGGCATACGCTAATCACGGCCAACACTCGTCCAGCAGTAGCAGCAATGGTAGCACAGGTGGTGCCGCTCTTCAATTGAGCGGCGCCGCCAGCAACAGCTCGCTGGGACATGCTGGACATGGCCATAAGCAGCATCATCACAGTCACAGTCATGGTCATGGACATGGTCATGCTAATGGCAGCAGCAGCAGCAGTGCCAGTTTGGTTCATGCCATGGGCAGCTCGACGCTGCCGCATTTCTCGCAATCAGCTGGCCTGATCGCGCCGCCCACCGGCAATGCTGGTGGGCCCGGCACCGCCTACATTTCGGCCACGTATTTGCCCTTCAATCATCCCGGACAGCTAATTAACGCGCAGCCAGTGGCATTTGCACCGAATGCCGCTGTGGCAACACCAGCTGCCGCCGGCTTCTATGCAACGGCGCAGCAGCACCAAAAACAGCAGCAACAACAGATGGCATCTGCCCAGCAGCAGCATGGAATTGGCGTCAGTCCCGCACCAAGTCCGGCACTAGCACAGCCCATTGCCTACTATCACACGCCGCCGCCACTAAATAACAGCAGCAACAACAACAATAGCAATGCCAACAAAAGCAAATCGACGCCAGGCGGCGGCACTGGCAATGGCGGCCATCGTGGCAGCATGCGCGGAGCCGGGCAGCGTTCAACGCCGCCCCAACAGCAGCCGAGCTACTTTCCCGCCTATGCGGTGCCGACAGCAACGGCCCCCCAGCGACCTGCGTCGCGCAACTCGCCCCTGAATGGAACACCAGCGTATCACATGCCCCCGGCATATTGTCCCAGCATACCCATTGTGCCGCCGCAGAGCCTGACGACGGCGCCCTTGATAGCGGCCGCCAGTATGACTGCAGCGCCGCCGACTGCGCCGACGGGTTTGCACACGTATGCGTCGCACTTGCAGAGCACCAGTGCCACAGCCGTGGGAGCGACGGTGCCAGGTGGCGTTGCTGGCGCCTATTCGAGCACGTCGTTGACTGCACTGCAGCAGCTGGCTGGTGGCTGTGAGAAGTTGAAGGAGCGTCGTCGTCCTACCCATGCCATACCCATTATACATCCGGACACCAAAGAGAATGTCCTCGATCCCAATTCTTCGGTGTTCATTAACAAGGACTCGAACTGCACGCTCACGTCGAGCACGGGCAGCGAGTGCAGCCTGCCGCGCTACCAATTGGCTGCCGATCCGGATGCAAGCTCACTCACTGCTCTAATACTAGCCGGCAACATGGTCGATCATCAAATGCAAACGGAGAAAGCTTCGCAGGCGGTGGACGACAGTCAAGCAGTCGATGCATCTGCAGCTGCATTTGCGACTCCATTAACCGACGAGGACAAAGTCAGTGTCATTGTCAAGGACATACTCGCCAACTCGGGCAATCCAGATGAGCATCTCAGCTTTTGGCAGTGCAATGACGGTAAGTTTAACATGATGAATAGGCTTATCTTTTGATCTGTTTTGCTAGGGCATACATATTTTAAATTTACTATAAATATGAGTCATTAGTTATGTGATTTACTTATGGATAATCCCATTTAAACCAAGGGCTGTTTCCCCCAAATCTATATTTTAAAGATTTGCCTTAATTGTATATTCATTTCGTTAGATTAAGGTAAATTGCAATTATAAAAAGTTATCTTCTTATCTCAATAAATTGTAGTGGACAATTCCTCGGAGAATACAGCCGAGTTACCTTGTGTTGTTGACAAGGAGGCCAATAACGATGAGTTGCCGCCCACAAGTTGCAGCAACACAGATGGGCCAGTGCTGTTCACTGAGTCGCCGACGAGCAAGAAACAGCGTCCCAAGTCGGCCAACAAGCAAAGTTAGTGTTGTGCACATTTATTTCCTTTCAACTATTGTTGTATTTAATCATGATAACTTTATTATAGGCACCGCCACGCCCATTTCGATAGCAAATGCTGTTGCCGAGGCAGCCACTAGTTGCAGCAGCAAGACTCGTTGCATTCTAGCTGGCATCAAACAGGCGACGATATCAGCGCCACAGCAACAACAGAAACCGCTTCTGCCTACGCCAACAACAACAACAGCGATAAGCGCTCGCTTGGCAACTGATGCGGGCCCAGCGAGTCCCCTAAAGGTGCCAAAGCCAAAAATCACGGTACAACAGAGTCAGGTAGCCCAGCGTCAGCAGCAACAACAGTCGCAGCCTCAGCAGCAACAGCTGTCACAACCTCAGCAAGTAAAATATGAGCTGGGTTCGAGTTCGTCGTCGGCTGCATCGACGCCAACGCATCAGCAAAATTTGCCACAGATTCAATCGACAAAGCAGCAAACTGGACGCGTCAAACCCACAGCAGCAAGTCCAGGCTCAGGCTCAGGTACAGGCCCGGGTACAGGATCTGGCACGAGCACACCTCAGCAAGTGGCTGTTGCAAGTGCAGTTATGCCTGCAGCGGCTGTGCCGCCCAGCAGGAAGAATCAACGCAAGACGCAGAAGCGCAAGGAGCAAGAAAAGAAGAAACAGAAAGCGGCTGGCAACACCGCTACAACCACGACAGCAACTACAGCAGCAGCTGTCAGTAATGTGACCAACAATAACAATAATAATAGTAGCAACAGCAGCGCCACAACCAGCTCAAAGAGCAACAGCAACAACAACAATAACAATAGTGCAAGTGGCGCTGAGACCATCATCACGTATGTGACCACAACTAAAACGACAGCCGCTGTCGCATCCGCAACGCTGGCGGACAAAGCGGCGCCCACGACGACTGATATGCTTAGTGCAACTAGTAATAATTCTAGCTTAAGTTTTAGCCTAAGAGACAAGCAACCCAAAGAATTGCAGAAGCCGCTGGCAAGCAGCAACGAACCCGATGCGATCGATGCGACGGCTGCCAGTGACCAACTCAGATGTAAGTGTACAACATACACAGTTCTGCTGCATGCGTTATGTGACTAAATCCTTTTTGAATTTACATCGTTTTTCAGATGGCCAGCAAAGGGATAAAGATTCGTGTGATATAGATATGGTCGCCCAGGCGGTGGATGTCGACAAGCATGTGGCCAACAAGGATATTGTGGCCAAGTTTCTGCAAAAGGATGTGACGAACGCCAATGCACCTAGCCAAGCGGCGGAGCCACAGCTTGAATTCCTCAATAGCAGCAGCTCCATATGTGAGGATGAGGACTTGATGAGTATCGCTGACGTTGCCGAAAAGTCCACGAAAAGCAAAACGGACGCCGCCGAACTTAACGTTCATCAAATTCAAATCAACAAACTCCCCAATGAGGCCAATTTGAGCGAACTGAAATTTGGTGACTTCATTGAGGAAGCGACGCCAGATAATTCCAGTTTTATATGCAGCTCCACCTGGTCGAGCTCACAGCCAGCATCTGATCTGGTGAAAATCTCACAGACCACATTATCCGAGGACAATGTGGACTGTTGTGCCCCAGGAGATAGTACACACAAGATTGAGCTGGCGAACAAGAAGGTCTCTGGATCTGCTGGGCATCAGTCGGTTAAATCAGCCGTATCCAATACAAACGTGATGGGAGGCAGCAAAGCGATAACTGGCACATTGACTAGAAGCCGTAGTGCCAGCAAATTCATAAGGTACAACCTGGAGGAGCTGCGCGAGCTATCGAAGCTGAGCATTTCCAGGAAGCCGCCGTTGGTCCCCTGCCAGAAGGGAGATTGCATCTCGCAACTGTTCGTCTCGCGACAGTCGCAACAGGTGCAGCAGCAGCAACAGCAGCACCATCATGGCCACAACCAGTATGGTCAGCAATTTCAGCACACGCACGAATCAATGGACTATGGTTCGGGGAAGCGTGGACGCGGCCATGGCCATAACCAGAACAAGAAACATCATGATGGTCACCAGGCGTCGATGAGCGGCGGCATAACGAGTGCCAACAATTCCGGGCCCGGCGGCGGCGGCATGGGTAGCTCCAATCGGCGCCACATGGACATCATACGTGTGCAGCTATCGCTCAAGGAGGAGATTAAGCTGTCAGAATGCAAGAATGCCTGGCAGCCGGAGGCGATGCGCCGCATGTCCTCGTTCAGCACAACGGAAATCGATCCCGACGATGACATGGAAGTGGTGCTAAAGAAAGTCCGTGGCATACTCAACAAGCTGACGCCGGACAACTTTGAGGTGCTGCTCAAAGAGATGTCCAGCATCAAGATGGACACCCAGGCCAAAATGACAAATGTAAGTACAATCAACAGGTAAATGAAAAACCCGGCCTTTTATGAGGATGCGTGTACAGGTACGCACACTTTCTAGTAGACTAATGGGTTATGAATGTGTGCAAAAAAAGCACGCGGATCACACAGACCCTTGAATGTGTGCGAAGATAGCAGCAACTCTCTATCCTTGTCTTTTTGCTAATTCCGTTTTTTTTGTTATGCTAAACAGGTTATGCTGCTCATATTTGAGAAGACCATCAGTGAGCCAAACTTTGCGCCGACTTATGCGCGCTTCTGCAAGGTGCTATTCCACGAGATCAAGGCAGAGAACAAATCGCTGTTCACCAGCTCGCTGATAACTCGGATTCAGCACGAGTTCGAATCGAATGTGAATGATGCGAATGCCAAGGCGAAGAAACTGCAGCCTACCCAGGAGCGGATCAATGCGTGCACCGATCCGGCCAAGAAGGCCGAACTGCGCGCTGAAATGGAGGACCTGGAATATCAGTTCAGACGTCGCGCCTGGGGCACTGTGCGCTTCATTGGTGAGCTATTCAAACTGCAATCGCTGACCAGCGATCGAGTGCTGCATTGCGTCGAGTCGTTGCTGGAGCATGGCTGCGAGGAGAAACTGGAGTATATGTGTAAATTGCTGACCACTGTCGGTCATCTGCTGGAGGCGGGCCAACCGGAGCAGTACCAAAGCGGGGTGCGCATCGAAAAGATCTTTCGCCGCATCCAGGATATTGTGCAACGCTCACGTTTCAATGCAAGCCATACATCGCATCGCCAGCATCAGCATAACATCAAGATTAGCAGCCGTGTGCGATTCATGATGCAGGATGTACTCGATTTGCGCTCACGGAACTGGGATCAGCCGGTGACGGCGCAGTCAGCCGCTGCCAATCGTCAGCAACGTCACAAACAGCTGGATGAGCCCAAGGCACAGCAGCAATCGCAGCAGCAGCAACAGCACAGTAGCGGCAGCGGCGGCGTCCGCAGTGGGCAACTGCCACAGCAACAGGCCCAGCAGCAGCAGCAACAGTCATCGATTTCGCAGTATCAACAGCAGAAGCAACATCATCTTGGCCACGAGAGCAGCGGAAATTACTTTATGCAAAAGTCGAATAAGTCGCAGCATCAGGAGAACCAATCCTTGAGCATAGATGTGAATAAACTACGCTTCAGTAGCGGCGGCGCCGAGGACACAACGACCGCCAAGCTGGGCAACTCGTCACTGTATCAGTGGCCGAGCAATCGTCCGGTGAGTGCTGCACTGCCAGCAGCGACACAAATCACCTTGGCCAAGCGTACGGTGCCAACGACGACGAACTCCTTTACAAATCCGCCGTATCAGCAGCAGCAGCAACAACAAGCATCGTCAACAGCGCCAACAGCAGCAGCAGTTGCATCAGCAGCGTCTTCCGTTGCCAACAGAAATAATAACGTAGAGGCGACGGCGAACAAAGTGGTAGAAATCAACGACTTCGATGGCAAACGGTGTCAGACACTGCTCACGAAGCTCGTCGAGGAGGTGTTGAGTACACGAGACTGGCAAAATGAAGTGCTGACCATTTGGCGCAACTCCAATACCAATAGACCCCAGACTGTGGAATCAATTATATATTACGTTCTCATGGAGTATGTGCATAGGGCGGAAGTCAAGCGACAACAGCGTTTGGCATGCGCCAATGTATTTTCGTTTTTGATGCGTCATCAGGCTTTTGGCCGGGTCATCTTTGCCCAGGCATACGGACGCTTTGGCGAGGATTTTCCCGATCTGCTGGTCGATGTGCCCAACGGTTGGACATATGTCTTTGAGTTTCTCGGTCCCATACTGCATGAGGGCTGTCTGGACTTCAATGATGTGTGGCAAAGTCGCTGGTTGGAGGATGCCCAGTTCACCGAGCGTTTCGTTCGCGCCTTTGTCAACTATTTTGTGCAAGAGTTTGGCGCCAGCTTCACACACAAGCTGTGGCACATAGACAACAAGCTGGATCGAGGCCAGCTGTTCTGGAGCGATGCTCGCAAGTATCGCGACTTTTTACAGTCGAATAGCTTTCAATTTTTGGAGCCAAACAGCACACCGACAACTTCGGGTGTGCAGCGACCGAAGGTCACTCGCACCCCGGCGGAGCATGTGGAGCGCATCAGCTATCTGCTGCGGCTGTCCAGCGATACCGCAATTGACTACATCAATACCAATGTGCACATAAATGTGCCATTTGTGCGCCAACTTACCAAATTCCTTTGCTGTGATTTCGCACTGACTGTGATCACCAATAAACCATCGACTAAGACTAAAAACAACCATAAGACTAACAAGAACAACAACAACAAGAAGCAGCTGCAGCTAAACGTCGAGAACTTCAAGAGCCAGTGCACCCCACTGCTCCGCCTGTGCATCGATATGCTGGAGGCGCACGAGATCGCTTGCATCGAGGAGTCACTCGACTCGATACACAGACAGTATACGCTAGAGTGCGACAGCGGTGAGTTGGCCATGGCGGAGACCATCTGCAGCATTTGGAGTGTGCTGTACGACAGCGAGGTCATTTCGCGGGACTCATTTCAAAAGTGGCTGAAGCAGGAGATCGGGCCATCTGGCCCCGTCTATCCCCGACTGCTGAAGGATAAATTGCGTGCGTTTATCGAGAAAATCTGAGTTCGGCGCACACCAAACCAAAATATAAAGGATCAACAGCAACAGCCAAAAACAACAACAACGAAGAAAATCACCGGCAAACAAAAAATGAAATAAAAATCAAACAAAATCACATATATTATGTATACGACAATTGTAACAGCGGCATTCGGCATTTTATTCACACACCAAGCGCGGTCGTGTATACCCTCTACACACGATACCACATACATCCTACAAACAGAATTCGTTTTCAAATATCAATTGATTTGTCCATTTAACATGAGAGTGTAAAAACACCAGATAAGCAAACGACAAACAACAAATAAACTTCTGCAATAAACAAAATACAAAGGCAACAATTAATAAGTTGAAAATGAAAAAAAGAAAAACAGAATCTCGGCGTCAAAAAGTATTCTCGAAAATCAAACACAAACATAACTTAAAATATAAGTCAGGGTACATATATACACATATATATATAATATATATATATATATAACACACATATATATATAGAGAAGCTATTAATTTTATTTTTATTCACAACCTCCAGTATTTCATTTAATTAATTGTTCTTCAAAGTATAATACAAGTCAATAAACCCGCTAGTCTATCGGCATAGTTTAGCATTCTCTTTGTTTATTCTTAACAATTAACTATATTCTTTACCTTTAAGTACAAAGATTTCTTAATTTCCATTATTTGACTTTTTCTCATATTATATTTACTCAATATAAAATCAACTTATTACGATATTTGGTTTATGTGATTTCCATGCAAAAGGCTCAAACCGAAAGCATACGTTTATTTCCTTATAAAGAATCTATGACTATTTGAAATTGTCGTGAGGCTTAGACTCAAATTAATACTACGTGAATACAAAATTATATATTTACTTCAATATATATGTTATACTTTAAACAATGTAAATTATAGCAAGAAAAGACATGTAAAGTATGTATGTATTTAGTACACAGTGCATGACAAAAATAATCCAAAGATACAAGTTTAAAAACAAAGCAAAACAAAACAAAATTAGCTGTAAAATGAAAGGAAAAAATACATCAACTTTAATTTAAAACAAAACATTATAGCAATTTAAACCAAATTGAAAACTATATTTATAAATTTACAGCAACCATAAACCTAAAAAAAAAAAACAAAACAAAAACAACAAAAAAAAAAGGAAACAAAAAAGAAAAACAATGAAAAGCAAAACCAAGAGCTCTAAGCCGCCTTGAATTAGTTATTTTTATAAGAGTACACAAGGAAAAGAAATTAATTTCAAAAATTAATATTTCAATAGTAAAAGATTTTCACATTTTTAATTTTATTAGCTATAATTTTCGTTTTTTATTTTTACACTGAAAGTGGAAACGAAGAAAAAATAATGAAAATGGTTTGCGGCAAAATGCAAAAAAAAAAAAAAACAAAAAATAAATAAAAATAAGAATAAATTATTTAGCAAAAAAATAAAAATGTAAACAACAAAATATTAGTTTAGGAATTGTGAAAGCGCTTCTGCACTGAAAAGCATATAGTATAAAGCCAAGCTAAGGATATTCTGAAAACTTCTAGCATTCTTTGAGAGCATTTCAAATGTGTAGTCAAATTCTGGAATAAATTAAAACAAATCGATAAACAACAAACCAATCAAATCTGTGAGCATTTTTAGCATGGAAACAAAACATTAACGAAAAACCCAATTAATATCTAACAACTTAAAAATATTGAATGAAATTTCAAATCACAATTAAACCACATTTAAACAAAGGCAAAACACATTTAAAAAAAAGGCGCATAAGACTAGAAGAAGCTGATTAGAGGGGCGGTCTAACAAATGAATGAAATTATAAACAGCAAATAATAATAAAATTCAAATAATAAAAAAGAAAAAAGAACAAGAAAAAATACAACTGCAAGACGTTGTTTCACTGTGGGCAGCAGCCAAAAGGACAACACTCAACTAATACACACATACAGCACACACATTCACACACACAACATTCCAATGCATCCACATTTAATCTCACATACACGCACACACAGCTAAGCAATTCATGGTGATGGCAGTACTTAAGATTCATATCGCATATAGCATAAGAGGTTTAGGATAATGCTTTAAGGCTTAAGGCACGCACAAACGTAAGCTGCTCAGTTTGGAATAATTTGCCTAGAAACTGATCTTATCCATAATCTTCTCTTTCCACTTCATTTAGAGCGATAGGACGACAACAACATGGAGCGACGTGGACGCATTCCGGTGGCCAAGTTTCGGACGCAAGAGGCCAAAACACGCAGTCGGAGTCGAGTGAGTGAGCCGGACTACAATGAACAGGATCCGGAACATGATATGTTTACGCTGCTAGAGGACAATATTGCTCTTAAAGAGGAGAACAAAGCGCTCAAGCTGGAGATTGAATCGCGTAAGTTACGATGTAATAGACTATAATTTACATGGCCTAAAACCACTTTTGCCACATGTAGATAAGACGACGCAGGAGGAGCAACAGGCGCAGCACGAGAAGCTGTGCGCTCAGCAGGAATTACTGCAACAGCAGCAGAGCAAATTTGAGTCAGACATCAAGGATCTCACTGTCAAGTTCAATAAAACACTTAACGAACGCAATGCGCTCGACAAGCTTCACAAAATGAAGGTCGATCAAATACACAAGTATGTTGTAAGTTGTTTAATCTTATCGAAACGAACTGAAGTATTCGCTCCCTTTTGCAGTCTCACCAGCGAACTGGAACACATGCGCGAAAAGCAGCTGGAGAACTCAAGTGGTGGCAGCGCTGTCGCAACCACACTAATTGACTCCGTTGAGCTGAAACGCAATCTGCTCAAGATCTTACAACATGACAGCACAGACAGCGGCGATATCGCCACTGGCGGCAACGATCTTGACAGCCTCATTGATGTCGGCGGCAATCTGGATGTGCCCATTACCAACGCCCTAGTGGAACGTCTGGTCACTGAGTTTCTAGCGCTGAAGCATGCCACCAATGCCGTCGAACTACAGCTGTATGAAGCCAACGAGAAAATAGCCGAACTAGTGGAGCATGTAAGTAGAGCTTAGTATCCAGAAGGCAATTTAAGCTTACGCTTCATTTGTTCCACATAGCAACATCTGCTTGAGGAGGAGAACGAAACACTGCGCACCGAGAATGGCAACTTGACCAAAGTGGCCAAACTGTTGACCGACAACATGAAGGAGAGCGTGGAGACCAGTCAGAAGTAAGACCATTTTCTATATATGCTATTATATAGGAGTATGCTCATTTTAAATGGGCTGTTTTGGAGCAAAGTTCCTATGGATGTATATAAAATAATAATACAATATATTTCCTGGCAATGTTTCTTTGAATTCGAATCGTAGTTGTAATTTTGCTTTTGCTTATTTCATTTTGTTTTACAAATAAAATTAAAGCACATTAACAATAACTCATATAAATTGTATACATTGCAGAATGGAGGCCGCCCTAATTAGATTGAAGCAGCGCAATGATGAACTCACTGCGAAGACACGCGACCTACCCGATGGACAGCCCCAAGCATCGCCTTCGCCCACAGCACTGCAGACGCAGGCCGAGTTCGAGGAGATCAAGGAGCAGGTGCAGCATCAGACTCGCGAGCACAACGAGCGCATTGTGGAAATGGTGAGCGGAGAGCTATGCAATTTTAGCTACATTGTATTTGGTGAAGGTTTATCTATCTACTATGTATCTCTCTGTTTATCTATCCTACCTTATATCTGCCTATTTCAAAGCAAACACGAAGCGTGTTTGATATATTCAAGCCGTTCTCGAGTATCTTTAAAAGCAACTGAGTACATCAACGAATGGTACAACAAAAAGGCAGTTTCTTTCCACGCACGCACTTTTCTTATACTTATATATGCACCTAACAATAAATGATTACAAAAGTTATCTTATGACACATGCATGGAATGTGTCCAGCTGGGTTTTGGGCTATTCCCTACCAACATTTTGGTGCTGGACTCCAATCAAAACAAACAAAACAAATCAAAAACGTAAGCGCAACTCGCTTGCCTTATGCTTTTAGCTATCTTCTAACTCTCTCTGTATTAACACGCATCGAACGCGTTTTGACTAATTTTTGCTCGACTAATTTTCGATACACCCGCTCCGCTCCCCCCGCCCCGTTTACCCTGCTCTTGTTTCCGTAGCAAAGTCTAATGGATGCGGCTATTGCAAAAACTACTAACGATGAACTAAAAAAATTACAACTTAAGTTGGAAATACTCGAGGAGCAGCTGCGTCTGGCGCAAACACGCGCCGATTTCGCCGAGGAGCAGTTGGTGCGCTATCAGCAAGCGGAAGAGCATCAGCATGTAACAGCGACCACAACAGCAGCATTGCTGCCACCACCCCCGCCACCACCACCGCCACCCATGCCGGCCAAAATGCTTTATACAGCTGCAACGGCTTTGGGTGCAGCTGATGGTGAGAGCGGTGGAGCTGGCAGCTTTAGTCAGCATATAGCTGGGCATAATTTGCACAAAGGCGTCGGCGATAAGATTATCGATAATGTCAAGCAACAGGTACAGGCGCAGGCGGCAACAGGTATGTCTGTCATTCAGTTATCAGCAATCCCCCATAATCCACTGGCCTACTTTATCGACTCGGATATATGGGTCTAAGGAGTGTGTGTGTGTGTGTGTGTGTGTTTGGGTGTCATATTCCACTCAATGTCAATGGCTCAACAATGGACAGGACATGCACCGTGGAGCACTTTCACCTCAGCCATTTTGTGCTCGGAATTTTAAGTGTCGATTTTTATGCTGCTCCCTTTCGCTATTCATTTTGAATACTGTCTGCTTGTGTATATTTTAGTATGAATTCTGTGTGTGTGTGTGTGTCCATACCGGACGTATGCGCAATTTGCCCTTTGTTGTGTATACACATAATATATACCAACTATGTTTATATACTGACTAAGAATTTTGGCGAATTTCGCAACAAGATAGAAATTTTATTAAGTTTTTATTTTTTATGTTCGCTGCATAGTTCCTTTAATTTCAGCCAAATTTGAGCAAAGACTGCAATCTGAATAAGATACAGCAAACGAAAATCAATATTCAACCTTGTCCTGCCAAGTACTATTTATTTGAAGAGTCAATCACACATTTAAACAACTTTTATTGTTAGTTAATTTGACAATCAAGCAGCTTAAGCTAACCAGAATAGATAGTTGTAGTTAAATTGACAAAGACACAATTTAATTTCTTATTAATATGCTAGATTTTTTTGTTTTTTGTGTTTACCAACTATAGTTTTGAACAACTATTCTTTAGGAGCCATAATTAGTGACTTAGACATATCTAGTAAAGAAAATGCAATTAAGTTTAGCGAAGTAGAAAACTCTTTTTTGCTAGCATGTTCAGGTTGTCTTAGAACAAAAACGCAAACTTTCCGTTGTCTTTGCAAAAACTGAGAAGTGGCAACTATGCAAATGTCATAAGCGTTATCTGCCTCTGGAGGCGACTGCGTTAAGTCCTTAGACAGGGGCGATGTCTGGCACCATTGTGGTTGTTATTGTTGTTGTTATTGTTTTCCTAGCGTTTGTTTTAACAGCCTTCTACGTGTTGCTGTCAATTGTCAATTGTGAATTGTTAGTTTTTGCCTCACGCAATCCACCTGCCTCACCGATTATAATTGATTTTGTGCGTTGCTTTGTCTTTTTTTTGTTGCTGTTGCTTGTGGATGCTGTTGTTGTTGTTTACCTAAGCGTTGCCACTCTGGCACGGCTACGGTGCACGTTACCATGCCATGCCTGTCTTGGCTGGTGCTTGCTGCTGCAACGGCGGCAACTTCTTAATTAAGTTTGCCACGAGCTTTTTGACGCAGCCCAGCCTGGCTGTTGTTCCACTAGGTACACACACACACACCTGTGTGTGTGTGTATCTGTGTGCAATGAGATGTAGTACAGCAGTAAAAATCTAATTAGCGTCGGCTTTAGACTCAGCAGCAGAAAGGGAAAGGGAAAGGCAGCTTGCGAGGCTGGAAGCTGGTAGCTGAATTTCTTTTTCGCCTTAATACATTTTGCAATCAATGTGAAACCGCCATACTTGATTATGTGTATGTATATTATAGGTGTGTCCCTATGTGTGTGTCTGTGTGTGTATAGGTGTAGACTGGTGTTGTTGTTCATATTGCTATTGCACTTGTAGGACATCGCCGACGTTTAATTTCCGCTTTTATTGCGTTGAAACAATTGTATGATATTGATTTGGATTTGAGTTTGAGCTCAGTGCTCCACACTCGATGCTCGACGCTCTCTGATTGCCTCATGGCAGCTGTCAAACAGCCCCTAACTTCAGTTAAAGATTAGCCCCATTTACATTAAGTGGATGCTTTAGATAACTGAAATATTTGGCAATGCTTACTTACAGCAATGTGGCATGACACACAAATTGAGCAGCAGCTACACATTTATTTACTAATAAATGTTACTAAGGAAACGATTAAGTTTGAAAATCCCGAATTGAAAAAAACAAAAAGCAGTGATATTATTGCCAGTTTACAAAGCAGATTTTCTTGGTTTTGGTTTTACATATTAAGAAAATATATATTTATTGGATAAGAGAAGAAATAAAATTGACAAATTTAGACTTCAATTACTATGTCAAATTTTGTAGGAGACTGTGCATTGGCACCTGTATATTGATGTAGGAAATATATATATATATATATATATATATATATAGTTATTGCTATTGTGTAGAGATATGTTATTGTATTGTGCTATGCAAAAAATCGTGTATTGCATTATGACGCGCTTCAACCACAACATCAACATAACAAGTCACATGTGTACATATATATATATATATATATATATATATATATATATATACATATATACATACATACATACTATGTAACTAACATGTAAAGGAAATCAACTGGTTTGTACTAGCAGGGGCTTTACTACACACACACACACACACACTCAAACTCAAGCATATTCCTTATGTAAAATATAATGCAGCCATGCAGCAGTTTCTATCTTGATGGATATGACTGTGTGTGTGTGTGTGTGTGTGTTTGTGTATTTGTGTGTGTTTTGGCAGACATAAAATGGTTGAAAACACTTTTAGTATTCTTATAAATACAAACTATCGATCCATAAAATATGATTAAATTATAGTTACAGCTACCCTTGTGGCTGCAACACAAAACTGAATACAAAAATATATTTTAGCTAGATATCTGGCGTGTTGAGTTCAGAATATAGTTGTATATTTAAATGTAGACTCATTCAGCAATTAAAATCGCCATTTACAATTCAGTTAATGCCTTCAACTCGGAATATTCGATTTTGTGCAGTCTTCTAAGGATTTGTCTAGAGAAATCTTTCTATTTAAAAATAGTTACATATGTCATAATTAAAATCTTCTCTTTAAACTGGCGACCACTGTACTTTAAAGTTGAAGCTAATCAAATTACAAATTTTGCAATTGCTTTGTAGAAAGTAAAATAGCAATGAATCTGCTTTTAACTAGGTTACTGTTGCTTGTTTTAATTTAATTTAGTCTGTTGTCTGTGCACCAAAAATCTGGGCCAGTTAGTAGAAAAGAAAGTGGAAATCGGAGAAGGTGGATTAAAAGCCAGATAAGACTCCTTAAGTGGCTGCCACGCGGGAGCGATGCAATCAGAGCTTAAGCCACATGCAACAACGCCTGTCAGCTGCAACACACTCGCACACAAACACACACACACACAGAGACACACACGCATAGCAATATGTATGTACAGCTACTGACTGACTGACTTACGCGCTGACTCAATTACTAGAGCCTCTCGCACTAGCACTCACACTCACACTGTCACTCTCACTGTCACTCTCACTGTCACTCTCACTGTCACTGTCACTGTCGCACTAAGCACATCCGCTTCCGGTTTTGTCGTGTCGTTGTCGTTGTCGTTGTCCATCTTTCTACTTTTTTTCTTTTTTGGCGCGTATGCGTAACGAGCGCACATTCAAATCAATCAAGGCGGGTATTGTGTGTGAGGCGCGAGTTATTAAAAAGACGAGGCTTCAGCTATTGCTGTTGCTACCAATTTACATGGAGATATATAAGTATATGTGTATGTATAAGTATTTGTATCTGTATATTTATTATGTATGGTATATAAGCTGTGCGATAAATGACCCGGCACTGAGAACTGAGAACGAAGCGCGCGCGCGTCACTTGAAGCACATGAAGCGTTTGAGCTGGCAGCAAAGCGAGCAGCAAGTCAACAGCTAGCCAGCGTTGTGGCATTCGTGTCCTGGCGCTCGTCCTCGTCAACAGCAACCAGCCAAGCAGCAGCCATGCAGGCAGCCAAGCAGCCAGCGACGCGTCGTCGCACTCGGCCCAAAAACAAATGAAGCGAACTGAGCGAATAAATTTCTGACATTATTGTTGTCGCTTGCCGGGCGAAGCCAACCTGTAGTTGTGTATATTTATGTGTGTGCGTGTGTGTGTGTGTGTGTGTGTGTGTGTGGGTTTACAGCATCTATCCACAGATTGCCATGGCAATGTTTATATGCTTGAGGCACCGTCAATCGGCGTTTGGCTTTTGTCAGCCACTTGTCTTTTGTTCTGACCATTATTGACCAGAGAGCCGAGCCTACTCAGACACCACCACCGCCACCCCTCCCCCGTTTAGCAACAAGCTGTCACATTTAGACCAATTTCCGCTAGTGTAAATTAATTGACTTTGAAGTAGGCACAGACCGAGCAGTGCTGGATATCATTTCCGCAGCATTTCCGGTTGTGCACGATACAAAAATAACAGTAGAAGCAAGCAGCAAGCATAACTCGCATACTTCATTCATATGTGTTATGCCACCGAGGAGAACTTGAATTGATTTAAGTTTGTCCTGCTGTGTAAAGCCAAGAGCCAAGAGTGCCAGAAGCTAGAAGCTAGCTGCACGCCATTAGCTGGCTTCCTGGGCCGAGGCAACTGCCCTGGCAACACAGCGTCCCGAGAGACGGCAGACGAGGGGCGGGCGGACCGTTGGGCGGGTGCTATTGTGGCTGTCGTCTATGCGACAGCTTCGGCTTTAAACACAGCCATCAGCAGACGTTTACATGTTTCACTCGCAGCTTACGGAGCTTTATGTTACCCAACGCCCAACGCCCGACGACGTAACGTATCAAATTCGATGAAGGCAAGGCATACGCCATTTATTATTTTTACGAGTAAACCGAACAACAGACCAAATGGCGATGCCGCCACAGCATTCCACAGACCCAACCAAGACTAGAACCGGGACAAGGCATCACCTTCAATCCACATTGTTTTTGTTGTTTTTGTAGTCATGCTATGGCTTATTATTATTATTTGTGCGTTTTATATTTCCGTGTTTTATTGCGCCGCTTTTCTTATAAACAGACACACACACACAGACACACACGGTCACACAAATACACCCGCACACTTTACCTAGAGAGACCGTATATTTCCATTGACTTCGTTTTTGGGGCACAACAAGTCGCATACGCAGCATCAGCAACTTCATTTGTCGTTCATCTGACAGTTGTTGAATGCGTGAGCTTATTTCACACCCCTTCTGTTGTTGTTTGTTGTTGTTGTTTTTGTTATCTGTTGTGATTTATATACATTTGCCATATACCCAAAAATTCGTAATTTAAAATCCTTAGCTCCCTTGATTATGTCGCGTGCTTGCTGTTGCCATTTAAAGGTAGGTGCTGTCTTATCATTTTTTGGCAATGGTTTAAAAAAAAACTAACCGCATTTTAGTTGAATTCTTTTAAATGCTTAGCTTAACATTGTAATCTTAATCCATAATACAATTGACTGATTTGAATGTACAACGGTTCCTTTCAGGTCTTGACGCTATAGTGCGCGAATTTAAATCTGGACGCGTAACGTTACGTCGCAACCATCGCCGCAAGACCGGCACCAGCGAGGCTCTCAAGGAGATGTTCCAAGTACTCGAGATAAGTCAGAAGCAGAATCGCAACTCGAAAATATGTGTCGATCTGAACACAAATTTATAAATGACAATACTCTCTGCTCTTACTTCGGTCTCAAAAAAGTAAAGCCTTCGCTGCGCTTCGACAAGCAACATTCCATGCATTTTACTATTTATATATAAATATATATATATATATGTATCACTAATTATGCCTTTTCGTGTGTGCCTTTCCTTTTGGAAGAAAAAACAAAACAACTTCATTTTATAAGCTGACCAAACTACTACTCTTATTTTCTTGTATTCGTATTACCTAACATGTATTTGATGATTGTCTTTTTGAAATGTGTTCATGTACTAATTATTATTATTTATACATTATTTACATTTAAACCCCAACGAAATATTATGAATAAAAATTCACATAACATATGAAATAACATTATAATAAATGGAAAGAACTAAATTGAAACTGCGTTTAATTTGTGGCTTTAGCCAATCTGAAATGGCGCAGCAATATTTTTCATAGCATACTCTTATGCTCAAAAATAAAAACCGGGTTCAATCAATCAAAAATATTATAGCATACTTTTAGGGGAAATTACTCATTGGGGTCATCTAAGTAACAAAAATTATGAAAATTTCACTCGGAGGGGAAAAAGAAAAAAGAACGCATCTGGAGAATATTGGTTTTGTCCAATGTCCGTCTGTCCGTCCGTATTAACAAAACTTTTTTCGACACTCTTAAAGCTGAATCCTTGAAACTTGAAACATTTACTTTTCTGTAGCTGCGTCAAAGGAGGCTAAGAAATCGACAAAATCAATAATCGCTAATTGGTTGAAAGATCGATTAAAACAATGGGATGGGCACGCCCACTGCGTCTCCCAAAACCAATATAACGCGCAATTCAAAAGCTAGAGACACCAAATTAGAAAGGTATATTGATAGTAACACACTTCAATTTATATATATGTCCATATCTCCCACAATTCCAATCAATGCGTTAAGCTGGCTTAAATGAAATTTATTATTGCTTAATCTTTGGCCAATGCATAGATCGCAAATTACATTATATTACACATAGCTGCTTAAATTTAGGTATACATTTATATATATGTATATCGGATAACAAAATTTAAAAAGTTATTTGTTCATATGTAAAGTACATAAGTATATGTTACGTATTAAAAGTTGATATTATGGCTACTTAGCGTACAATAAAGATATATGTGTAAATAGTTTTGCACATTACTTTGTTGTAAATTTGTCTAATCGATAACGAATTGAATAAAAGATTTTATTTTGCATCATGCAGCGTAATTGACTTCTAGTTGAATTTGTGCTTCAAATTGGACAAATTTGATTCCATTCTTAATTTCGTTTTGTTCTACATTGTGGCACTTGTTTGCATAAGAAACGTACGTAGAGTTGTTTAAACAGTATTAGAACTTAAACTTAGTATAGATACGTTTCAGTTTGGTCACATATATATTGTATAGGGAATTCCAAGACTTGTGGAAGACAAGTAGCAGGTGTGCGTATTGTATTTTGTTCGAAAACAAATAAAAATAGAGGATATCGATATACAATCATACGAATATATGATTGATATAAATAAACTATAAACTTAGACAAAAATGATGACATGTTCAACATAATATCATTTCAATATAATTAAACATTAAACATAGATCTTCCTAAATATATTTGTTATAAGCCTTTATCTTAAATCTACTGCGATCGTTTGTTAAGACACTGATGCCGGTTGCTATTTGGTAGTCGGTCATGTGAGGCAAATGTTGTTGCTTTTTGTGTATTGTTTAACTTGTTGCTCGTTTTTCTCGCGATTGGTGCTATATAGGTTTATATATGTATGTAGTAATAGGAATATTTGGCACTTGATGCTTCCTCGTTGACGTTTTGTTTTTTTTTTTTTATGGCGCAACAGTACAATTGCTTTTCGTTTCTTTCATGGAATGTGTTTGCTGTGACGCGATGGCTTTGGCGGCGGCGTTGGAGGACGTGGCTTGCTGGGATCAATGCTGAAATTAGTGGCCTCCACATACTCGTACGATGTGTTTGTAATACTGGTCTTTGTCATGGTTGTGGTCATGCTACTGATGATGTTGGACGTGTTGATGCTCACGTTGCTTAGCATGCTATAACCATTCGGATTCCAGTCCAGACTATGCGTCAGACTGCTAAAATCGGTGGAGTCGCGCGTCTTGGCCGGCAAAGGCGGTGGTCGCAAGTCCTCCTCCGAAGTTGAATCGGTCGTTTCTATACGCAAGTATTAATTGAATAATTGGATATAATTCAGGTAGTAGTTGATGCCACATGCTGCTTACCAACTGAGTTGCGATTGCTGCCCTCGGACAAGGAGCGTGTGTCCGCAAAGTTTTTAATGCTCGCCGTTGGCGTCGCAATGCTAGCTGGACGCGAGAGGCGCCTCTCTTTTTCCTTCTCCGAACGCAGTGGCCGCTTGGGCGTTAACTATGCGAAATACAAATAACATTAGTTGTTATTAGCAATATGAGACGGTATATGCTTGACTAACCTCTTCAGTGAGCACGCGTGGATCAGGCGTTTTTTGTCCACCAAAGGAGCTATTGGAGGCACTGGCCAGCGAGTTGACAGATGTGTTGATCTCCTTCTCGGGCGTCGAATTAATTGTGGACAGTGGCGGCGTATACCACTGGCAGTTGGCCACTGGCAGGCTCAATGTGTCGCGATCCTGCAGATACAAGTTGGTACAATATAATATATAAAATAATAGAATAATACAATATGCAATAGAACACTTCGCTTACCTTTTTCATGGAGCGCCGCTTGGAGGGTGTTTTGTCCTTGTACTTAGAGCCTTTGGTGCTGGGCGTGTTTCCCAAACTGGGTCTAAGTGAGCGAACACAATAAGCAACAAAGTAAAGTAAAGTAAAGTAAACCAAAAAAAATAAAATCAAATCGTGCAACAAAAAAAAAAAATTGAATAAAAACTAAATTGAAAATCAAACATGTTAAAGCCTCAAACTTAAAATGGCGAGCAGCAAACAAAATGTGTTAAAAGAATTATTTGGTTTATTAGTCTTTGGGTTAATTAAATACGGAATCACAGCTCACCTGGTGTTGAAACTGAGGCTGGCCAGCGTTGACTTGATGGAATTTGTGGGCGGACGTGGCAGAAAAGTGGACTTTGACAGACCGCTGCTGCAATTGTCGGCAATTTTAGTTTAGCATTGATTTAGTTTAGAATACGATGAAAGTACGAGTAGGGGGAACTTACTCCGAGGAGCCCATGCTGGTCTCGGACAATCGATTGTTGCCGTTGTCAAAGAGTGTGGGCAAATAGGAGTTGGTGCGTCGCATCACCACAGAATCCCGATCGATTTTCAAGTCGCACGATTTACGGCCGTAACACGTTTCCACGTGATGTTTCATGTCCGCAAAGCACCCCTCTAAATGATCCTGCAGCGCCTTGAGACTGTCTGGGGCCTTCTGGCGATGCAGTCGAATGGCTAAAGGCGAAACATTATTTATAGAAAGCATTTCTTAAAATAAAAACAATCTAATTGAATTCCTACCAATATTGAGTAGTGGTATTTGCAAGGCAATCAATTCCTTAAGTTCCTCGACAAGCTCCTTATCATCCGGATGCTGTTCGAGATACTCGTCGGTTAGGAAGGCCTCTTCATACTTGGCAAAGCCGCCCATTACCGCCGGATCGACGATGCCATTGAGTTTCATGCTGAGCTGATTAATGTGCAACGATTCATCACTCTGATACAGTATGACCAGCTGTCTGATGTCCCTGTTTGTGTCCTTCATAATCTCAACGGCCCGCTCCAGTGGCGAAATCTTGAACGTGTGCGTATCGACGACGGGAAACCAACGCAATATGCCAGGCAAGCGGAATTGAGTGAATAGCTCAGTGCGCTCCAGCCAAAGATTGAGCACATCGTCCATGCCGCCGCCACCGGTGCTATCGCGGAATGGTCGCGAGAAACGAAACTTTTCAACGTTGTTAGAGGTAAAGTACTTGACAATCTCATTGGAGATGATCTTCTCATTGAACTTGGCGAATGCAGCGTCCATAATGGGCTCCACCTTATTGACCTGTATGTACTGGCCATCGCTGTTGGTTATATCCTCGCCCGGCGCCTCCAGCGTTTGCATCAGCTCCGCCTGCGGATGCTGCACTAGCATGCGCGAACAGAAGTCGCTGTGGCGCTCGTACTCCTTGCCCCGGAATATGTACACCTTGTTCTGCAGCAATCGCGGGAAACCCAATCCATAGAAGCAGACGCGAAAGTACTCGGATGTGTGACGCAGCTCCTTGAGTATCTTCTCAAAGAACTGGGCCATGCGCTTCAGCAGTTCGGACAGCTTAATGTAGTCAAAGATCTCCTCTTCGTACTGCTGTGCGAGCACCTTGCACATATCGATGGCGCACTCCCATTGCTTGCCCTTGTCGAAGTAGTCCATGATCTCATAGTAGAGCGCCTCCTTCAGCTCGCGATGGGTGCGACAGCTGCCGAAGAGATGACTGCGCAGCTGTGGCGACAATTCCGTATCGTTCCACTGCAGCAGCTCCGTGTGCAACTTCAGGGTGAACGCCGCCTCCGTATAGTTGTCGAACTCCATGTGCAGATCGCGCAGCTTGTAAACGTAACGAATGTACATCTCCTTGAGGTCCACCTCCGAATAGAATTGCAGCAGCGAAAACGTGCACGCCATGCGATTCTCCTTGCTCTCGTCCTGGATGATGCAGCGATACTCCAAGAGTTTGTCCATCAGCTTGGTCACCATGCTCACAAAACTGCTGCCGTCCACATTGAGCGTACAGTGGGCGGCACAATGCTCCAGCATGATCTTCTTGAACAGCTCCTTGTACTCCGTGTCGCCCTTGCCTGTCCAGATGAAAATCATCAATTAATTGAAATGGAATCAAGCACTTAAATACAAGACACTTACCGGCTCCAATTAGGATGTCCAGTTTCTCGATCATGGCTGTCTTAAACTCAGAGAAGTTGCCCTTATGATGGGCATTGTTGTGCTTGGTGTCGCCGTAGCTCTCCTGTTCGAGGCGAGAGCTGTAATACTCGCACTGCATCATATCGAAGAAGATGGGTATCGTTTCGCGTCGCAGCTCCGTTTCGGGTATCATGCTCATCTCCAGTATAGGCTCAACCAGTTGCGGCACAAACTTGGGCTTGTGCTTGCCCAGCTGGAACCACATCTTGCGTATCTCCTTGGCCGTATCCTTTCGTATATCTCGGTAACGAGCAAACACAATTTGTCGCTTGTTATCATTAAAATCGTTCAGCTGCAGTGGTGATTGCACCAGAAATGCAATCGAACACTGAAAGAAATTCGACCAGATCTGCTTATCGAACACCGGACAGAGGAAATAGTCCGTGACGACCATGCTCAGTTGTTGCAGGGCGCCGAGGATGACCGTATTCTGGTGCATAATCATGTCCATCCAGTCGCGAGGAAAAACTGCCTTCTGATGCGGCGAGACGAGCTCCTCGAACACAAGCAGAATCTCAATGACAAAATCCTTAAGTTCGCCCTGCTGATGCAGATCGTTGACAAAGTATTTGTAATGCTGGGCATCCATGCGCTGCAAAATGCCCAGCATAATGGCAAAGAACTGGCCGACTACATCCACATCCCGATCCAAGGAATGCGCCGCCTTCATCACCGATCGCAACAGCTTGATCATAATGTCGCGCACATCATTGTGGGTGGGTCCAACATCCGATCGATAGAGCAGCTTCAAAATGTTGTTCATGATGTTGATGCACTCGGCGATCTAGCGACAAAGGTTGACGGATTAGTTTCAATTTCCAATCAGAGATGCATTCGATTATTCTTGAAATATGCAATTTAAATAAAAATCACGCCTTCTCTGCTGGCCGCTTAGCTAAGCTTAGCTAAAATATAAATTAAATTAGTGCATATATAAACTTAATAAAAAAACACAATAAACATTGTAAATTAAGGAAAGGAAAACACTGGCTGCAAAAATAACATAGATAAAAAAACAAACGCATGGCGTACACCAAAAAAAGAAGCAAACAATGCACATTGCATTAATATTTGTGAGCTTTTTAATTTCCACTGCGGAGCTGAGTATACCTGTATGTGTGTGTGTGTCTTCGTGTGTGTAAAAGCTTTGTGCATTGCTCGCACACTCGCATAAGAGAATCTTATAAATTAAAAGCCATTGAGCGTAAAAAGTGCACAAATCACCGGCAGTGCAAAATGGCAGAAAGCTAAACATAACTTAAACAACAATAATAAAAATATAAAAAACAAATATATATATATATGGATATATAAAATATAAATACTGAATAGGTGGTAGAACGCGGTAGGCAGCTGGTTGCTCTGATTTTGGACGTGCGTTACATAGGCCTGATCTGAATCTGAGATTGTTGTGCAATTTTCGGTGTATGTATTTCTTGTTATTATCAGAGTTTTTTATTTTGTTGTTTGTTTGTTACCTTTTTATTGGCAGTCGTTTCTCGTGTGTGCAGTTGGGATTTTTTTTGTCCGAGCACTTTAGCGGCTTTGGAAAGATTCTTTTCTTGCTGCCAGATATCGGTTTTCGAGTCACCCTATTTGTATAACACAATTATGATAGTGTACAGTGTACAACAGACCAACAAAAACAGCGCACCCAGTATTGAGTGGGTCAATTTTTGTTTCGATACACGTTTAATGGTACATAGGTGGTAGGCAGATGGGTGGTGGTTGGGTACAAAAGAGAAACATTGGGAAACATTTAGTTTTGATCATGATTTGAAGGCATTTAAGGAATAAGTAAATAATATGAATACGAATACGAATACGATTATGGTGCTAATCATTAAGCCAAAACAGGTATTACACACGTATGAAGAGTGACAAGAAGACAGACAGTGAGAGAGAGAGAGAGAAAGATATATATATAAATATATATTAGGAGAAGTAGATGTTTCAGATGTGCATACATACATACATTCGCATCATATGCTGTGCGTGTGTATAAGTGTGTGTGTGTGTGTGTGCTGTGCTCGACATTTTTATTTACTTATGTATGTATGCATATTGTGTGTTAAACTAAAACCATTTGTTCAGATACGGGGGGTGTTGGGTTGGTGCTTATGTATGAGTGTGTGTGGAGGGAGGATCAATGATGAATTGCCATACGTAATTGCAGTTGAAACATTTATTACAGTTATGACGCCAGATGAGAAAGAGGATTCTTAACGAGCGCTCAACTAACAGCAAACCCAAAACAAATAAATCTACGATCTTGATTTATGTGCCGTTAAACACGAGCAATGCTTATACGAAGAAAAAGAAATAAACACAAAAGAAAGAAAGAAAACAAAACTAAACGACGATGGTGATGATGGTCTGTGGAGAGATCTTCTCACTAAACACACTGATCGAGCGCTAGCTAAACAAGATTACACAGTTATATGTGCTTGCATATATAAATGTGTGTGTGTGTGGTACATATGCATTATATAATACTTACATTCTTACAGATAAGATAAGACATATACACATAGTTCACATATGGAATATTTGCGGTTGCTGTGCGGCTACTTTACAAAGTGCTTAAGACTAGAAGGGACACGTGACAATCAATTACAGACACAGGACAAGCACATAACGACAAACAACAAACTCAATCAGATGCAATTTTAAATAAACAATATTTAAATCATTAATAAACAATAACTGTTATCTTCGGGTTACCGAAGATGAAGTACCGTTGCAGATATCTGGCAACCATATTAATACATGAACACATCGATCAATTTGCAAATAAAACAATAAATTTTGATAATAATAACATAATTTAAATTTTAAATGTTTATGCAATAACAGCCTTGCAAAAAAAAAAAGAAGCTGAACGATCAGCACTGGCACTGAACGGATCTTCCTCTTTTTGGTGCTATCCACCACGGGTAGAAACCCACCACTCTTTGACTAAGTAAAGTTAGTTGTAATTGTATATTGAAACGCGAATAAAGTGATTAATTATTATTAGTACAAATTAAAAAGCTGAACCGAGTGTTTATTTTTTTTATCGTTTTGAAATGGATAATGTTAAAAAATAGTTTTAATTTTTAAATCAGACAGACGCACTGCGAAAGAGATAATTTCATCTGCAAGGGTACACACAAAAAAAAGAAGATATAGATGCAACATGCTTAACTTTAACTAACAAATCATCTCAAATGGCTACAAATAGATATGTGTAAAAACTAATTCGTTTAGAAACTGAGCAAAATTAAGACAGCTCACATGTTCAGTTGAAAAGTGTTATGATCTGATCTATCAAATCTTATCTCGCTTCGATTTGCAGACACTTTTAAGCAATATGACAATGGCAAGTTGGTTTTGATAAGTATGTTTCGGTAAATGTTGTAATATTAATTATTTGTATATATAGCAGTATAAAGTTTGCAGTTGAGTTAAATTAGTTACTTTGGATCATTTGACTTGAACATGTGCTGGGTTATGTTTTAATTTTGCGCCTTGTTGTTGTTGCATTCACAAGACCGTATATAGAACACAAATTGAAACGATGCATTAGATTATAAACAGTATGCGAACTCCAATGTATAATTAGTGGCATAAGCAAAGTAAAATCTGGCATTAAACATACCTCCTCCTTGCTCTCAAGATGGTCTTTAATATGCTTGCAGAACACCGGCAACAAGATGGCCCGGCAATTGGGCAAGGCGAACAGTTTCGTCTCCACAAAATCCTTGATGCAACCCATTTTGGACTGGGTAAGACGACGGGGTGGAAACTTTTCCAATATCTCCACGATCAATGTGCTGCAATAACGTATATTAACATATACTTCAGAATAATTGAATAACAACAGATAACACACCTTAGATCCACGGGATCAAACACCTCCATCAAATCGGTGGCTATGATATGTAGATTCTTGAGCAGCGCCCCCTCCGACTTCAACTGATTGCTGGGGCATCCGATCATATTGATGAACATTTTGAGCAGCTCCTGCAGTCGTGTGGCAAAGTCCACATAGTCGTTATTACAGTTCATTGCCGCATACAAAACACGCGATCTAATCACAAACTTCATCACATAGTGCAGATAGCGTGTCGTCTTATAGAGGCGTCGCACTGCTGTGCTTTCCTCATGCTCAATGCCATCGGCGGATTTCTCGCTCGGTGTGATGGCATCGCTGATATTGCGCTGCAGCACATCCATCAGTTTCCTAATGCAATATACGTTACGAATATTTAAATTGCAGATTAAATACGGTTAACACTTACGTATAGGCCAAAGTGGCGGAGAAACTCTCATTGATGTACACATCGAGAACGGTGAGAAAATGTTGATACTTCAAATCGGAGACCGTTTCAATCAGATGTATGATGCTCATGAAGACTAGTTGATCGTACTTTTCATGATGATCGTTCTCGACCAGAATGTTAAACAGTGCATCGAGTATATCCTGCAGAAACTTGACCACCTCCTCACCGGGTACATTTGCCAATGCATTCAACGACTGCTCCAAGGTCTCCTTATGCGCCGACCAGTGCAGCAATCCCAACAGACTGACTGGAATTCATAGTTAAGAGTTGTGAAAAAATGCTCAATTGAAAAGAACGAGGGAGACAAATCTTACCACTCTGCGTTAGTTTTGTGCTGCATAGATTAACGTCAATGCATAACTGATCCTTGGGCAGCAGACTAAGGCCACCTGTAGGTGGTTTGGTACCCAGTAGCTCGGCCTTGGTTGCCGGCAACTCCAAATAGCTTTTGGCCACCAATTTGTCATACTTCTTGGGATCGATCTTGTAGACGGCGAGAATGTGCTGACCCTGCGTTATGGTCGTACCATTGGCCTGCATCAGACGCACATAGGACAGACCGAAGGGCTTCTCGGAGCGATCCTTCTGCTCGTTGCTGCTGCGATGCTTGAGGGTGAAGCGCAAATGACACACCTTGAACTCCTCGATGGGCAGGTGGATCTTGAATGTCTCCTGCCACTTGGGCTTGTCGTCGTGGTAATACACCACCGACTTGTAATCATCGATGGGCGGATGCCCGGCACCGATGCTCATCACGCCCGACATCTGCACGCCGTATTCGTTGACCACACAAACGGTGACCTCGACGTTCTTCTCCGATGTTTTGGCAATGCGTGCAAATTCACCGCTGCAAATGGTCAAATAGAGATCGTTGCGCACATCACCGGGCAATATGACCTCGGGGAAGCCCATTTTGCGGGCGACGGGCACATTGGTGTGCACCAACCGTGGAAAGTCCTCCTTGATCTGTTTAATGTCGCCGCGCAACACCTCAAAAGTGACAGCCATTTTGGACTCGATTTTGCCAATGTCCTTGTTGGCAATCAGTTTGCGCAGCGTGCCATCCAACGTGTCCTTCTCGCACATGATGAAAGGCAGATCGAGATTGTTGCGATGATCTTCCGGCTTGCTGATAATGGACGTCAGGTCCTTGCAGGCGACACCGAACGGACGACGCATCATGTACTCACTGGCGCTGCCCGAGGATCCGTTCGAATTGACCGACAGCTGCGAGTGCTTTCGACTGGCTGCCGTGAGGACACTGTTCGCAATGTTCATGCTGGTGCGCTTCGAGTCTGTGGAATCTTTCACCTCCATGGAACCAATGCGTATGGCAAAGCACACCAGATAGATTTTCGATATGTTCAAATCGTTGCGACTGAGATCGGTGAACAGCACTCGATTATTATCGAACTGATCGATATCCCGGGCAATGCCGGTTCGTGACCACTTCACCACATAGTTCTCACTAATCGGCTTATGCGTCTCGCCATTGAAGAGCGTAAACAGCAGGTCCGAATCCTCCTGGAACTTGCACACAAAAGCATTCACATGCAGCAATATGTTGTGCGAGTATTTGTTAAAGCCACGCGTTCTCTCCCGATCGCCAGTTAAACTCTGTATGGGGAAAGTGAGTTTAGTGGAAGCAAAATACAACGAAAATGGCCGAAGTGGCCTGAACTCAATGAAATGGTCCGACTTGGATATACCCTGTCTTGGTACTTGGTACTCTTTCAGTTCCTTTTTTAACCCACTTATGTTTAGACTATATAGATTTGTGATACCGTGAATTCCATAACACTAATGGGAGAATGAATCAAAAATTAAACCAGCCAGCTGCGCTTTTGAATTTCGTAATCGTAGTTGGTTCTAATTCTACTAATTGTGATAGATTGGTTAGAAAGCGGGCTTCCCAGAGTACTTAACCTCTCCCTAGCAAGTGCTCAGGGGATTCCTCTTCGTCTGCAGATACCATTGTAGGGGATTGGAGACTATTCGCATGAGAGCCAGCTAGCCAATGGCTGGTTAAGGCACAGGGCTCTCTACTTTGTGTTTTATTTATTCTTGTAATCCACTTACATTGGCCTTCTTTATGCGCTCCAGCGCATGCACGTGATTCTCGTAGAGCTCTGTCGTGCAGATGGCATTTGTGTCCAGGATGTCGCCGCTCTCGTCGCGCACGACCATGTCGAGACCGAGCAGCTTGTTGCCGGTGTCAATCTGTGCCGTCGCCTGCAGCTTCACCTTGCGCATCTCGTCGAGCGGCAGATTGCCGGATATCAAGGCTGCTCGATTATTGTTCAGCTCATTCATCTTTGGCCGTATCACCTGAAACTTCTCATTTGTGCTCTGCAAGCAATATAAAAATGTTATTTAGCTGCAAATTTGACTTGGATTCATTTACTTACCAAAAAGTAACTCTTCGCTATGCCGCCCCATTCCAGCAGTACCTTGGTGATCTCCTCGACAATATCGGTGCGTCGAATGCAATACTCGCCATTCACGATGTTGAACTCACACAGATGCACATAGCTTTTGGGGAAGATGCCGCGTGTTTGCTTCTCCCTGCGGCGGAGATAGACAGAATCAGAAAATATTACAATGTGGTCAACATATGCTTGCGAAATCGACAAAAAAAAAAATATATATATATATAATATATGGATATTTTTATAATGGCGTATGCATTAATAAATTTATGTGTATTTAAGAGCATGCCCCAAAGCGGGCAGCCACAAAAGTTGTTGTTGAAAGGAAAAAACTTATCTGAAATGCAGCAAAACTTATCGGAAATTCTACTAATTCTAAATGTATATATTGAAACAATTAAAATAATGGGCTTAAAAAAGATTTCAGTTCGATTCTTTAAGGATTTGCAATTAGTGCGAATGACTCTAAATTTACATATGAAACCAATTCTCAATTCGGTCTCTCGTTTTTAAAAGTTTTCCAGATAAAAAGCTGCAGCGATAAAACTGGACAGAGGGACCTGGTCCAAGACTATCCAAATGTCGTTTTGGCAGCTATAATCCGACAGCAAGAACAGACTTAGAATACTCACCAGTCGCTGGACAGGTCAGCTATCTAAACTAGGTATAATCAGTTGCGAAATTTGTTGATAACGAGACAACCCAAGATCAGGTTTCATGTAGGCAGAGGGAGAGCTGTAGGCTCAGAAGGGGTCTCAATAGATCTAAATAGATCTCAAGTCAATTTCTATCCGAAACTTTATTGCTGACTCTCGCATATTTGTACATATTTCGATAGGATGTGTATGCGTATATGTGTGAATGACTTATGCACGATATGTTTATGAGTGCAGCATGACACAATTCATTGCCGCCGCTGATGAATTACCCAACTCAAAATCCAACGCGCCAGCCGGAGCTGAGAGAGGCTCAACTGAAATTGTTTAGGGTGCACATGGGGGAGTAGAGGAAGTGCGCGCAAAGTGTGACTCTCACCAAATGAAATGGAATGCTTTAATTTGGCTTAATTCAGCATTTGACATGCGGGGTGGCCGCCTTAATTGCCAGAGGCAACAACAGAACCAAACAGTACCGAACAGAACTGAACTCAAGAACCATCAATCAGCGTACTCCCCAGCATACATATACAAATATATATATAATATACATATATAACTGATAGACGGAAATGTTGGAACTATGACAAATTGCGTTGCGTTGAACTTGATTCAGGTACCGGACATAGAAGTGACCTTCAATATATATATATATATATTGGGCACTCCCAAATTTTCAATTTTTGTATTGCTTATCGATTGGAAACCGTGAGAAAATGCACAATTAAAAATTATATTTCATTATAAACAAACAGAGGCAGTCAAACGAAAGACGAAAGACGAAAGAAAAACAAAAACAACAAATACGAATATAAATTTCGAATCGAAGAGGTTATCACAACGCATTGAATTTCTTTTTAAATGCCTCACACTCTCATCAATACAGTTTTATCGCACAATAGCAATAAATAAATAGCTACAGTGAAAACCTGGCACAACGGAAGCGAATCGAATTTTTGAATCAATACTTAAGCATTATATGACTTAATGAGCTCAGCTTAACGAATGCTCAGTTTACATGAATATTTACTTGCGACGGCTTCACTGTACTCGGCTCGTCTACTTGTGGGTCTGGGTTGTGGGTCAACTATGAAGAAAGGTCAGCCAACCAATCGTGTTGTATGCTGCACGTTGTTTTTGTTGCAACTCTTGTTGTGGCTACTGTCTCTCAGCGGTTGTTGTTCTTGTTTTCGTTTGTTGCTTTCAAAGATAAGGCAACGCACAGCAGAGCCGCCTCAAGTATGTGTCCAAGACACCATAGATAAATAAAAACAATCAAATAAAAACCCAAACTTCTTCTATCTATATGAAAAACCCAACCCTACAACACAGAAGGGTCAACAATCATATCGGACACACAAATTCGTATCTTAGTTCTTTCAATTTTCAATGGTTTTTGTTTTTTTTTTGCCACATGGCCGCATCTGTTTTTGCTACAGAAAGGGTTGAGAGAGAGCTAGTCGAGAGAATGCATTTGTTGTTGGGCAACGTGGCACAGATTCTTACATGCTGATTAAGTAAACAACACAGCCAAATGGGCAGCATTTTGGCCCACAACAGCTGGTTACCTGATTTATGCATGTGAACAACCCGGGCCCATTAGCATTTCCGTTTGTCTGCTCCAGATATAAAGCTGTTGTTGTTCTTTCCAGTTGTGTGGAGAAGAACTGCCGATTTATTTAGAGACACCCAGCCAACAAATTCAAAATTTAAGTTTTTGTTTAAATTCTTTGTATAATGGAAATCAGTGCAACTCATAAATATTAGAAGAATTCAAAACGATTTCCAAACTATCATCTGTAATCACTGGACTTTGTAGTTGCAAATGTCGAAATACAAATGTGAGAAGCAATTCAGATTCGCTGGACTCCAACGAGTTCAACGACTCGTATTACTTAAGGATCTTATATAATATGGATGTAGGTACAACCGGTTCTTATCGTTTGTGAGGGCAATCTTAAATTAAATATTTGAGTCTGGGTGTCAAAAGGAAACGAATTTTAACTCCGATTCTGATTCTGTTCCGTAAAGTATACAAATTTCGATTTCGACATTCTTAAAAACTTTTTACCGCTATTCCGGTAAGTTTGGCAACTTGATTTTTACGTTGCAGTCGGGCGTAATGGACTGTGGAATACCCTGTTATTATTTAAGCAAACAAAATAACTAATGATGAGATTCAGGTGTCAGCATGATGTCTGCAATGGCAGTAAGAGAGAAGTAATCCTAAGTCTCTGGACTCTCGCCAGTCCAACAATTCGGCACAAATACTGATCGATTTGCTTTAAGTTCTTATTTAATAAGGATTTAATTTACAACACGCACTGTACGATATGAATCTTGTAGTTGATTCAGTTACTTTTAACACTTTTACACTCCGAGTATTTCAGACACTAAAACTTTATGTAATTTTGAACAGTAAATCAAATACAAATGCAGTCAAAGTGCACATGCTAATCAGTGATTAATCAGAGTTGAGATTATTCAAATTTACATACTTTTGCTTGTAGCCGTAATACCAATGTGTGGTTGCCTTGAGAATTATGACCGCATCGCCCACATCCAGATTCAAGCGATGTGGCTTCGTATCCTGATCAAAATTGCATTTGGCTGCAAATGGGGAAAAAGACGAAATAATAATTATTAAATGTATAAAATTTATTGAAATATAGTGCAGGTATTACTTTATTATAATCCAGTCACCTGTCGCGATTCAGCTACGATGCGAAACTGAGCTGGCAAATTAAAGCTAGCCGAATGTGCTTCTCTCAATTGACATGCTTGGGTTGAGGGTTATCAATTACTTAATTCAGATCGGGATCGGAAGCTGGGGTTGTTGTTTTTTATTTTTACTGGAGCGGATGGGGGGCTATGAGTGATTTGCATTGCCACTGATAATGATGCGCGTCGTTCTACGTGAGATTTATCTAACTGCAAGCACAGCGTATAAAGCTGATAAGGTTCTAGTTAAATGACGCATTACGAAGAGACAGAGAGAGATAGAGAGAGTTGCAAAAGAAATGCAACAAGACGCAATCAGTGAGACACGCTGCGGGGGCAAGCAACAGATGACGATGAGGATCGAGACAAAGCCGCTGTTGCATTCACAGACGACTGCTGCGACATCGTCATCACTTCCTCGCCCGATAAACATAAGTATTTGTGTGTGTGTGTGGGTGTGTGTGTGTGTAGATACAAATATGCCACAGCTGCAGGCAACGCCAAAAGCAGACGCAACAACAACAGCAACAACAAAGCCGCCTTCGCGTAATACGCCACGGGTGGTGCGGTGCTTGTGATGGTGGTGGTGGTGGTGCTGATGGTGGTGGTATGGGTGTTGTTGTTGCCACCGTCCCGGTCCAATGACCGATGTGCTCTGTGGTCTCTGTGGCTGATGAACGAGCATAACCAGCCGAGAACGACCTCCACAGTACATAAACTAACAAAAGCAACAACAATAAGTGGCAACAATTTGCAAAGGTATTTTTTTTTTATTCATTTCGTTCTGTTTCTGTTCTGTTTTCATTCACTCGCATTTGTTGGAGAGTGAGAGATTTTTGTTGATCTGCCCAATTGCATGGAAAGTTAAGTCCGGAGTGGGTCAATTACGAAAACCAGTCGAGCATAGCCACTAGTTGCTATTAGTTCACTCACAGATTCATTCACAGACTATTATTTCTCTGGTTGTGTGCAAAACTTTTGTGGCGAGTGCAAATGCGCTGTTTTATTTTGCCTTTATGGAATGCAATAATAAAGCAACGCTTCGATATAATCATGAGGAAACTGGATGATCACGGTAAACATTAAACAGTAAACAGCAAAAGCAAGCACAAACCACAAGCATGTAAGTGTACTGGAGTAGCACATACCCTGTAACACGTGCCCCTAACGAAATACTTTATAAAATTTAATGTTTTTCTTTTTTGGTCCACATTAGTTGGATATATTAAATAAAAGCTGAATAAAAGCATTAAATTTTCATTTATTTATTTTTTTGTTAGTACAAAACATTTTAATATCTGTTTTTAATTTAAGACGTCTGTTTTTAATAAAAAAAATAAAATTGCGTTTATGAAAAAAATTAGTAATAACAATTTCAGAAAACGGCTTGAAAATGCAACCTTAATATCAATCATGATATTACAACAACAAGCCTTCCGATTTTTTTTATTTATCAATTCGATTAGGTATTGATCTTTTTATCTCATTAGAGTGTTATATAAAATTCTCTGATGAAGAAGATAAGCATATGCCTTTCTTTGAATTTCGCAGGGTGTATCTGTATTACTTTAGCTGTCAGTCAAAGTTTATGAGAACTGCACATTCATAACGATCTTCCTGGTTTTCCAATGCGGTTTGCGTTTTAAGTATTGCTGCTGCAGCTAAGTTTAACATTGAAGATACATATGTACAAATATGTTTTCATTATTGGAAGTTGCATTTCACTTTTTCTCACTCTCTCTCTCTTTTTTCTTGTCACAGGGTATCTACTAGCTTGTCAACTTTTTTACGTAATTTATTTTTATTAAATGTACATTTTGAAACTTATGTATATCAATTTTCATACATAAGTTTAACCTGAAGTGTTCTTATGCAAAATAATAAACTGCTAATTCACAATTTCTGGGAAATGAATGAATCATTATCATGATGATGATGACGATGACGACGCCGACGCTGCTGCCGGTCAACCAATCAGTCATCGAGCGCTGTACACACCTTGCTCAGGCCTCAGTCTCAAACAGACGCTGCTGCTTATGAAAATGTCATTAAATCGAACTCATTTCCCATAAAGCAGGAACGATGGAAACTGTAAGGCAACTTTTATCTGGAATTGCTGGACTAACGGAAACAATCGTGAATAATGAAATGCAAACGCGCCTGCGGCCATAAATAAACGAGGGGGGAGCAGGAGGCCAAGTCACGGCTGAATGGTGTGAGAAGAAAAGGGTTCAGCAGCAGTAGCAGCATAAACTGAGCGGGGACAGGTAAGCCAGGTAGACGACGTCATCGAAGCACACACTTTATGGCCAGTGGACAAATGGTGTGCCAACTGCAACAGCAACGGCTACAAAGGCGACTTTGTTAGCGGCGGATGCGCCCCCACACAACTTAAGGCAAGGTGCGGAGTCTGGCGGGGGTCAGCACGTGCATGGAGTGTGTGCCTAGACTTAAAGGTAGCCGTGCTTAAATGCAAACATAGCTGCTGCTGCTGCCTAGCAAATGAAGCAACACAATTACAATAAAAATAATAATAACAATAACAACAAATTTCCAGCAAGTAAAAAAAAAAACTACGACGCTTCGTCATCTTCCCGCTGACAAGTCATATATAAACACATACACACACACATACATAAATACACACACACACACATGCATGCATGAATACTTATGTACACAAAAACAACAACAATCGTGACTGGACGTCGTCAGCGATATCAGCAGCGGCATCGACTTGGCTCATTTTTAAATTTCAGGTTTAAATAGCACGCTTTACATAAATACAGACACACATACACATACATGCAAACATATGTACATATGTGTGGGTGTATTAACAGTAGCACACGTAAAACACGACTGATACTGTGAGACTGACTCAAAGTCATTGTAATCACAACTTTGATTGTTCGATTCAAATTCAATTGCAAAAATTCAATTCAAATGCACACCGAAAAAATATACGAAGTTTCTTTTTGAACTTTACTTGAACTTCTTTTCTCCAAATAAGTGAGAAGTTGTTGATTCAAACATTTTTCTTATAAAGGTTAAATTTGAAAAAAGGTATACAAAGTTTTTAATTATGTGTTAAGCAGCTAAATATATATTAAAATTATAAAAAGAGTTAATAACCACAAAACAATCAGTTGAAATCATATTTGATTTTAGTACTGATTTATCAAACCTTTCTTGTATAACTAGTGCAGAGACAGAAAATATGGAATAATATAAAAATATCCAAGCCTAATTTTTAATATGATTCTGCATACTAAATGAAAATAATAGTAGATTGACGCTAAATTCATACTTAAATTTTGTTTAAAGATCGTTTTTGTGTATTTAATTCGGCTCTACAAACTAATTTGCAAATTTATCAAGTATAATATACATATATAGCGTACAATTATTTTGCACAGTGGTAATTGCTTACATGATATAATATGACATACATAATTAAATATAATACCATATTACGTATATAAATGCAATGTTATATGTATTTTTTTTATTTGTTTCTTTTTTTTTCGCTTGCGTCAATTCAATTCAATTCTTTTTATTTCAACATGACTTAGTATATATATTTTTAATTCAATAATTTAAATATATCTCATTTAAAATTTAAGTTTATAACGCCTTAAGTGAATTAAAGATTTCAATAGCAATTGAATCATTTATGAATATTTTTGTATTTTGCTTAGAGCTGAAACTGCTCCCACAGATGATCAGATAGATTCAGTCACTGTGACTGCTGCTCATCTCTAATTCAGTTGTTGTTGTTTGTTTGTTTGTTTTTGTTGTTATTATGAATGATGTTTTTGTCTGTGGCGCATTAAGTCAGCGTTTTTTCTAAGCTCATTTGTTCTTGGCGCTTGACTCTCAAAGCAATGAGCTAAGCTATGGCTAAAAATATGTGATGTGTGTAAATCATATGTATATCTATATACATGTGTACACACACACAGAGACTCACACACATATGCACACAGACTCACACACACACATACACATACATGAATGCGAGTTAAGTTTTGAGGGTCAATTATAACGATTCCCAACGGTTAAGACGCACGGCTTGTCTGGCTAATAATAGCTGCTGCCTATATACGTATATGTATACACACGCACAAATAGTACATTTACGTATGTATGTATGTATGTACATACGTAGGTATATTTCAGGGAGCTGAGCCGAGTTTAGCGTAACGCTTTTTATGGGCGTGTTGAAACAAAAATTCCATTGTATTCTTTTCTGCTACTCATATATATATATTTTTTTTGTATTTTGGCAAAAAATATTTTTTAAAACCCGATTCTTATTCTGACAGGTAAACAGAGCGAGAGAGAGATAGATAGGGGGAGAAAAAGACCGAGACATATTTGTAGATAAGATTTTATGGGCAGTTGACAGTTACAGTTAATGGCGCCGCGCTCGTAAAACCCACAAGAAGAATTAACCGAAAACTTGAGACGCAAAGGAAAATGTTAATAGTAGTGGCGAGCCATAAAAATTGTGAATATAAACAAAAACTTGACCCATTTAGGCCAAGAGTACACAAGAAGCACACAAATTGTTTACAAGAAGGATAGTGATTTTATTACATGTACCACCAACTTCCTTGTACTGCCGTGATTAAGGAAAGGTTTTTTACTTTTATCTTTATATTTTTCAAAGAATTTCAAAACATAAATATGGCAATTGTTCTTCGAATAGATAAAGTGCTTTAGTTCCAAGAATACTGTTTTTTTAATCAAACATATTACAAAAAATATATGTGCAACGCATTAAACAGTATGCTTATAGCAAAAGCAACCAGATTTTCTTGCTTCAGATAAATAATGCACTGCTTTTATATATTGTATATACGACATAATATTATTCATTTTATGACGTCAAATGTTTTCAAGAGATTCTATATGAAATTGCAATGAAATATTTATAGAACTATATTTCAAGATTGCACTCCTGAGTCATTTGGCTCTTTTAACCTAGGGTTCCGAGTGGACTTTGAGTCTCTGTCTGATCGAAACAGTAGAAGTTCGATAAACCGAAACTAGTTTGAATCGCTTTCAATGATACATTTATGAGTCAATTAATGCCACCAATGCCAAAGCTGATCCACAACTGCCACCCACAAGTAAAGCGCCGTTACTTTCTATGTAGATACCATTCGCCACAGAGAGAATCGAGCAAAATGTATATGCTTAATTATAGGCAATTTCCAAGTCGAACTTTTGCTTTCGACGACGATTGGGAAAAAGGCAATTACGAATAAGAGATGCGACAATCTTTTGACATTTTCTAATCTGGGGAGCAATAAAAAGAAACCCGATGGAGGCCATTGGATGCTATTAAATTTCAATTTGGATTGCGAAATAGAAAGCGCAGATTGGCTTCCAAGTGCTTCGCACTGACTAGAAGTGAGCGAGAGAGACAGAGAGAGTTGAAGAAGTGGAATGAAACTGGAACTGGATGTAGATATCAAAATGCAAGTGGATGTTGCTTTGCACAATCGCCTAGGGAAGTGCTCATAAATAAAGATGATGGCGCAGGGGGGGGGGGGGGGATGCATCTTCTTGTTGTTGTTGATAGTTTTATGTCAAGCAAACAATCAAGCAGCTGTTGCGAGGGGGGTGTCAGACTATTTGAGCAAGTGCTAAATCTGGCAATGTACACATCCAAATACACATATACATACATATTTACATCTTTATATCTGAGCTTTTGGGTGCAATCGTAGTTGCGCTTTGTCATGGTTGAAAATTTGGAAAGCACTTTCAATTATGTAAATGAAAAGGCTTTTCATGCGCTACAAAAATTAACGAGCAAGAAAATTTTAATTAAATAGAAAAACCCAAACTGCAATTCGACTCGACTCAATTCAGCTCCAACTCGACTCGACTTCTCTCTTCACTCTCAACCTCCACTCTCGGCTCGTCTCACTTTTTCAATGCTGAGCCTCATTAAGTTTTACGTTTGCTTTGCTCTTGTTGTTGTTGTTTTTGCTATTCAAATTTAGAAGTAGAATGCATGGCTGCCTACACTATCTTTCTCCCTCGCACCGTCTCCCTCTCCCTAATTAAAACTACATATATTCATGCAAAGAAAGTAGTGCACAAAGCGGTGAGTCAAGTGTAAAGAGCAAAGGAGCATAGGCGAAATGTATGTGTGGGAGTGAGAAAGAGGTAGGGTGAGTGGAGACAGTGTCGCAGGTGCAGCAGACGTCACCCAACTAATGTCAATGAACAGTAGAGTAGCATGGCAAATGCCTGAAAGCAACAAATCAACACAAATAGACAGACGACGGAGAAGAAAAGGAAGAGAGAGAGAGAGAGAGAGAGAGAGAGCGGGTGTGATTGTGTTAGTGTGGACTCCCGCTACGCATCGCAGAAGTGAGGGGTGGGGGTAGCCACTTCCCTCACTTTGAATTCAAATGGAGCCTTTTTTTGGAAGCATCAAATGACAAAATGACAAATAAAAGAAATAAATGCAAACAAAAGCTTAAGAAATTTTCTATTATTTGCTCAAATGTGGGACAGCGAATCGCATTTTTACCGCATTTCGAAATGCGTTGCTGCATTGTTTTTGTTGTTTCTGCGGTTATTGCTGCTGTTACACACTAACACAAGCACACACACACACTCATGTATTTACTTAGTGTTTAAACTATAAGACGCAGGCGTTAAAATAAAAATAAAATAAAAACAGGCGATAAGACAACAACAAACTATTGTTGATAAGCGAAAAATAAGTGTGTACATATTTAAGCATTTCATGGCAAATGCAGCGAGGATAAGTTAACTAAAAAATACCGAAAAATAATAATAATAAAAAAAAAGTATTCGCTTTAATTGCACTGTAAATGGTACCAGAGCTGTGTGTATGAAAAGAGAGAGACAAATTATAACTATTTGATCTTCCTTCCACTTTTACGTGTGTAAGTAGTGTGTGTGTATGTGTGAATTAGTTGCTCATTACAAGAGACTAACCAAATGAAAAAACTCAGCCCAATGCCGTGTGTAATCTAACGGCATATCTTTTTAATATACGTACAAAAAATGCCGCAATTTTGCCCCTGCCACTCTGCAAATGAGAACTGATATGTACTGAAATGATTTCGACAGTGGATGAGCAGTGGTAAAGCAGAGCGAGCAGGCAGTGATAAAGAGAGATGCAACGAGCGAGGGGGGAAGGGCAAACACGTGTAAATATTGAGCGCAAACATTATGAGCATTTGAATGAACAGTTAATTCGATTACGAAACTACGAATTGCGCGAGTGATATTCACACTCATACATACATGCATGCATTCAAACATATGTACATATGTAATGTGTAAATATATATGCATCTATTATCTATTGAACACCGAAAAGGTCAACAAACAAACGAGCCGACAGACAATAATAGAAAAATGCACACATACGAAGAACAACAGAGATGAGAGCATTTCAAAAATGTTACATTTGCCATTTCATGGTCATTGCCAATGAATAGAATGGGAATTGTTGTTGCTGTTGTTGCTGTGCATGGAAAATATATGTCTGTTCTCTTGTGTGTGCGTGTAAGTGTAAGTGAATGCAGCCAGGCGATAGAAAACAGGTTACAGCCAAACAGGCAAACTCGACTGTAACGCGAAGATGCGGAGGCTGAGAAAAAAATATAGGATGCGATTGAAAGAAAAACGAAATTAAAGAAGATGATGAAGAAGCAGATGAAAGTGTGTATGCGCATGTTGACACAGCGACCACATGGCCGGCGAATGCAAGGGAGAGAGAGAGCTGGGACAGATGCAGCAGCAGCACCATCAACAACAACAACAACTACCGTAGCAAACGCAGCAGGGGAGGAGAACCAGAAACCAAGATCCAAAGTCAGCAAAGCAATTGCACTTGAGCGCAAGGTAAGACAGAAAAACTGTTAGTGTTGTTGTTGTTGCCGTCTTCTTTCACTGAGTTTTTGGAATTGAACACCCACAAAATTGCTGCCATTGTTGGTTTGTTCCAGGAAAATTTAGCATTAAATTAGGCACTTTGTTTAAACAATTTCGGCAGTAATATGTGTGAAAATAAACATTTTTTCAACATTACCAAACAATATTTTTCAGTTTCTTTTTGTTTTTGGTCTTCACTTGAGTGTTTTTCTTTTTTGTTATTTTTTTTTGTTAAATTTCGACTTACCAATGCCAAATGACTGCTTAGCGTTGCAATCGCTCCACACACTCATTGTGAATGATTGTTGTTGTTGATGATCTTGTTAACTTTTTCCAAAATAATAAACATGCATACACACTTACACACACGTACAATTACGAACATAGGTTTACGTACACTTTCGTTGGCAAATATAAAAAAAATAGAAAACGAGTCGGAAATTTGCAAAAGTAAAAACAAATTAAAAAAACAACTTGTGTATGAAAAGCAACACGTAGTTTTAGTTGAAATTCAGTGATGTTCACGAAGCCGACAACATTTGCATTTACTTGTTGCTTCGCCTCAACCGCTGGCTTAATTAAAATTATAATGTGATTTATTGCACAATTCCATTGCAGCAGTTATTCTTTATATTTTGTTTGTCGTGTCGGTCAATTTGTTCTCATTTTGGGAGTTGGCCGCATTTAATCTCTGCTTACGCTCCCGCACGCACACACACACGCACACATATACGCACACACTCGAGCGGGCATATTTCCACTTCGCTGTTTCGTTCACAATTAATTAATTAACCGGAATGAACTCCGCGCGCAGACAACACACAACACACAACGCATTTCAACTGTTGCTCGGCTTCTATTGTGCAGTGTGACCAGTCTACGCTAAACGCAAATCACTCAAGAGCTACTTAACATAAATACGAAAAAATGTAATATAATATTATGCAGCTTATTCACATTATGTTAAATATATTTTATTTAGTTTAAGTAAACTATATTGTGTTTATTTAATGCAAAGTTGAATTAAAAGTTGTTGGTATTTTTGGATACCACGGCTGCAGCATATATGCCTTTGCATGGCGCAGGTATTTCCATGGCAGCACAGAACGGTCGCACGGTTTTCCGCCAGTCATCGTGAAAAATATTCGGCGCGCCATTTCTGTGTTTGCGCTTCCAAACATCCAGCAATAAACTAAACAAAACTCGATAACAGCAAATTGTTGTGTTGAACGGGCAACCATTCGACGCCGGCGCCCACAGAAACAATATACAAATACATAGGCACACAGCAGAAAATACGCACTCGAGTTGCACACATTTGCTCAATTCGCGAGCAGAAATTTGACGATTAGCGAATATAGTTTAAACAGTCGGAGACGGATCATCATCATCAGCAAGAAGAATCGAAATGTTCGGCGGCGCTAAACCCTCATTCGGAGCGGGAGCCGGCGCTACAGGCTTTGGCGCCTTCAGCAACACCGCCGCAGCAACACCCTTCGGCCAGTCGGCCTTTGGGAAGCCAGCGACGCCAGCGTTTGGAGGGACGCCCGCCTTTGGCGCCCAGCCAGCCCAGCCCTCGATGTTTGGAAGTGCGGCAGCACCGAATCAAACCACTGGCGGACTCTTTGGCAGTGCAACAACAACAAGCGCTTTTGGCAGCACAACAGCGGCGCCCACATCATTTGGAGGTTAGAAACGAATTGCGAAAATGTCGATATTCATTTTGCAGACATTAACGTAAATTGTGAAATGCATTTCAGAGTTTCTTTGTTTGTCTGTCTGATTAACTTGTTAACTGCAGTTAGATTTTGCTTGCAGCTTAATTTCATCATCTTGTAAATAAATAGACATAATCTCGATTATTATCTGAAATCGATCAAGTGAGAGTGATAAATATGTCAAGTGAGATTTGAGTTTTGACATTTTGATTTTAAGATTGTTTAATTTTAAATAAAGCATTGCTCGAATTCTATTTTCAAACTGAATGAAAATAATTGCATTTTGCAAGTAACAAACAAGAAAAATACTTGATAATTATTTGAGAAATTTCTAGTCATGCGACGTATGTATTTAAACGGTATTTTAAACTTCGGCTTGCCGACGATTCCGCTTTTCTCAGCTGTTTTTAATGCTTTTGTTTTTTGTTTTAGCATTTTCGCAGGCACCGCAGCAGACTTCAAGTATATTTGGATCGACGCAGGCGGCGCCAAACACGTCGCTCTTTGGTCAGACCGCAACGAGCGCCTTTGGAGCCGCCAAGCCCACAACTCTGGGCATGACCAGTTTTGGACAGACGCCGGCGGCGCAGCCACTCTTTGGTCAACAGCAGACAGTGGCTTCAAGTGCCTCGGGCTTTGGTAGCTTTGGCCAAACGGCGCCGACAACAACAAATGTATTTGGCAGCGGTGCCGCCTCGGCATTTGGCCAACCCCAGGCGGTAACTGTGGGTGCGGCTGGTGGCGTCAATGCGGGCACCTCGCTGGTCAAATATCAGCCCACCATTGGCACGGACACACTGATGAAGGGCGGCCAAACAAACAATGTGAACACCAAGCAGCATTGCATCACTGCGATGAAGGAATACGAGCTGAAATCACTGGAGGAATTGCGCCTGGAGGATTACATGAGTGGCCGCAAGGGTCCACAGGCGGGCAGTGCGCCGGGTGCCTTTGGTTTTGGTAGTCCCACTGCCGGCACACAGGCCACGGCGGGTGGCGGACTCTTTGGATCGCCGTCACAGCAACAGCAGCAGCACAGCGCCGGACTCTTCGGCCAGACGGGCCAGGAGAACAAGAGCTTATTTGGCAGCTCGGCCTTTGGCCAGCAGGCACCAGGCAGCGCTTTCGGTGCACCCGCCCAACAGAATAACTTTATGCAGAAGCCTTTCGGTGCGGCTCCAACGAGCGCCTTTGGCACCACCACAACCGATGCAGCCAATCCATTTGGCGCCAAGCCTGTCGGATTTGGCCAAACGGGTAGCAATATGTTTGGTCAGGCGACGGCAACAAATGCTGCGCCTGCCTTTGGCCAGACAACAACCACTTTTGGTGGCTTTGGCAGCACGGCTGGGCCTACTGCTCAGCAGACGCCGCTGTTTGGCGCCACAAATCCAACGGATCCTAATAAGCCAGCCTTTGGACTGGGCACCGCTGCGTCCACTGCGCAGCCGGGCTTTGGTGGTTTCGGTTCGACGGCAACGAGCACCGCTGGTGGCGGTCTCTTTGGCTCAAAGCCGGCGACGAGCTTTGCGGCGCCCGCTTTTGGGGCCAGCTCCACGGCAAACACAGCCTTCGGCAACTTTACGCTGAGCAACAGCAATGCTCCGGGCGCCGGCGGTGGTCTGTTCAACACCAACTTGAATAAGCCGCCAACATCGGCGTTTGGTGGCTTTGGCACCACTTCATCGGCACCGCTCAACTTCAATGCCAGCAACACGGGCAACTCCATCTTCAGCAGTGCCGCCAAGCCGGGCGGTCTATTTGGGGGTGGCAACACCACTCTCGGTACCGGCACTGGTGCTGCACCAACGGGTGGCGGTCTTTTTGGGGCCGGTGGCGCAAATGGTGGATTTGGCAGCACTTTGGGTGGCAGTTTTGGCAGCCTCGGCGGCGGCAATACGGCTCTCTCTGGCCTCGGATTGGGTGCATCTCCCGCCCAGGGCGTTGTTGTGGTACCCATCCATCAGCAGATCCTATCGAAGGTGACATCGCCATATGGCGATACGCCAATCTTCAGGGATCTGAAGCGCAACGAAGAGGTGGACGCCACGCGTGCCACAAATCCCGTGGCACAGCAGGCAATGATCGATATGAACAGTCATCATTACAAGATCACCGAGAAGGAGGGTCCGGCCGGCATTCGGGTGAAGGCGCTGGTCAGCGCCCGCAACACCAAGTCCATGTTCGATGGTCTCGAGGAGTTTGATGCCAGTGTCGAGGGCTTCAGTCTCAAGCCGAATGCTAAGCGGCTGGTCATCAAACCCAGACCGAAGACAACCACCACGAGCGAGCCGAGTAGCATCCAACATCAAGGCAATAGCGGCAGCGGCAGTCCTGCTCCTGCAGCAGTGCGTCCTCCGACCAAGTCATACAACGGCATCACACCAAACGAACCGGTGCCAATCAGTGTCACCAACAGCTCCCCGGTGGCCAATCGAGCTGATGCGGATAGCAGTCGTCGCGAATCCTGGTTGCATCCCAACAACTTGGCCAAGGTGCGTCAGCACAATCTGCAATCGGGCATGGATCAGTCGCCCCTAAATAGCACCGTGACGGATCTGGTGCCACGCAAGCCACTGGAAACGTATAAGAATGCGGCGCCGGCCGCACGCCTCTCAGTGTCCACCATACCGGAGAATCCGTTCGAGGATCAGGCCAGCAGCATTGCGCGTCGCGACACATTCATTTCGGAGCACGGCAACGAGAGCAGTCTCTCGATACGCTCCAACGACTCGGAGCAGCAGCAGCAGCGTCTGGCCATTGAACCGGCCGCAGATGCGGATCCCAATCCGGATGCTGACACAGAGCCACATCCGACGGGCATTGTGCTGCGCCGCGTTGGCTACTACACCATACCGCAACTGGACGATCTCAAGTCCTATCTGGCCGAGGATGGCTCCTGTGTGGTCCCCGATTTCACAGTTGGTCGCGAAGGCTACGGCAACGTTTACTTTGGCAAGGAACTGGACGTAGCCGGTCTCAATCTGGATGAAATAGGTAAGCGAAAAGGATTTCTCTGTTTGGAACTCCTTTATTAAAGTTCTCCTTTTTTTTTCTTAGTACATTTTCGCAACAAGGAGGTCATCATTTATCCGGACGATGATAATAAGCCGCCCATTGGCAGCGGCTTGAATCGAGAGGCTCAGGTCACGCTGGATCAGGTGTGGCCCGTGGACAAGACGAAGCATGAGGCGATTAAGGATCCACAGCGTCTGCTCGAAATGGACTGGGAGGCGAAATTGCGTCGCGTTTGCGATAAGAATGCGACACGTTTCATTGAGTTCCGGCCGGAGACGGGCAGCTGGGTGTTTCGCGTCAAGCACTTCTCCAAATACGGACTGGCCGATAGCGATGAGGAAGACGACGAGATACCCACCGATCCCAAGAAGGCCAAAATGGGTGCCATGGAGGCCACCACTTCCACCGATAAAATGACTTTGACATCGCTGCGCAAAGCGCAAAAGATCTCCGAGGAGGCCGGTCGGACCATGGATCCAAAGTCATTGGATGTTGTCTGCGTTGCCGGCGGCTTTCGACCCATGGACACCTCCGCTGAGTTCCTCATGATGGACAAGACACGTGAGTGACTAGAATGCCGATGCCGTTAAAGATCACAATTGAACTTGATATGTTTTTTCCAACACAGAATTCTTTCAAGCCGGCGGCGGCACCGATTTCTCCATGTTTGATGCACCACGTCCCGTGGCCGCCAGTCCCCCGGCTGCGCTGTCCCACGAATTTATGGGCAGTGAGCCGCATAAGATGCAGCTGATGAAATCATCCCTGTTTGTGGAGGACAATGGCAGTGACGATGAGCTGGGTGTGTACCTTCTAAATAACTGATATCCCTAACGGAATTATCAGATAGCAAACAATCCACAAACTAAAAGTGAAGATGTCAATTTCCCACAAGATTCATGTTCTTTTCTTTTTTGTATTATATTATATATATTGTTTTTATTACGCTTGTTATACTTTTTTCTGCATAAAATTTGTGTTTCAAAAGTTTTGCCAAACTTGTATGAATATTTAAAAAGTATTAAGCCAGAAATAAGGTCATCACAAATAATAATTTAGATTACTGCTTGCAGCAATTTAATGATATATGCCTGTTCAGTTTTAGATAAAGCTCAACTTCTTTTAAATGTATTGCTCCACTGATCCATTTGATCCAGTGAAATCTTTGGCAATAGCAACTTCATTTTACACCAAAGCTTAACTCAAGTTCTTATTTTGGCCAAAACTCAATTTAGTTGCTTTATCCTCCCGTTTTTGTTTTTGCGACAGATTCGTTTCCGCTGCGTGGAAGACGGCAACAGCAGCAGCAAAAGCTGCGCACACATAACTTATTCGGGCAGGATACGCAGATGTGGAAGGATGCTGTCGCCTCGGAGAACTCCAGTGAATATGGACGTCAGTCGCCACTGTTGGCCGTATCCTCGTCGAACTCCGTGAACAGCATAATCCGCGAACTGCAATCCGAGGTGATACTTTGAGCACCATAATCAGTTTTGTTACCTGTGCCTGTTACTCATTTCTATTTGCACTTGTAGACATCATCGGTGGCAGCTGAGAGTGTTAATCCGGCCGAAAAGAATGCTCAGCCAACGCAGCTATTGGGTGCCCTAAAGGCCTTCAACGTTGTGATAAAACCACGTGTGGCACCCGAAAAAGTATTCGCCTCTGTTGTGCCACTGTCCCGTTCCATTGCCCATGGCCTCTACAACGGCTGGATAGCGGATCTGGGCTTCTACAAGGGGCGTAGTTTCAAGCTCAGCTTTGGGCCACAGAACACACTGATGGTGCCCAACACCTTCAACAATCTGTGCAGTTTGCGGGAGTGTAAGTACACAAAATACCACAATTCGATTCATCAGAGGATTGCTTCTAATGCTCTGTGTTTATGTCAACAGCCGGCAAAGCCACGCCCGCAGCGATCGCCTTTGAGGCACGCGTCGCCAATGATTACTCGCCCAATTTGATGCAGCGACTCCAATTCAATACAGTCGATAAATATGAGCATTTTGGCGATACTATTTTACCGCATCTGGAGGTGCAGCTGCAGGACTGCAGCATCCGCCAAGTGGAGGGCAGCAACTGTCCCTGGCTGCAGTCGAACAATGGGACCCAGCTGATTGCCAAGCATCTTGCCGCTGCCATTAGGCTGAGCAAAGCAAGCAGCATGGATGCTTATGGAGTCTCCGTGTGGTCGCTGATGATTTCGCTGTGGGGCGAGCACGAGGAGCTGGTCGGGCAGGACTCCAGCTCCCATTTTGTGGTCATGTGTCGGCGCAATCTGCTGTCAGAGTGGCTGGAAAATGCGCTCGTCAGCAAGGATTTGCTCTCAAAGAAGGTCGCCAACAATAGCTATCTGGCTCATATGCTGGACTTGTTGTCCTGCCACCGTGTGACCGAAGCTTGCGAATTGGCCTTTAAATACGACGATGCCAATTTGGCACTGATCCTAGCTCAGCTCAGCTCTGGCGCCGTGGTGCGCATGCTCATGGAGGAGCAACTATTTGCGTGGCAGCAGAGCAAATCGGACAAATACATTAGCCTGGAGCGCATCAAAATGTTCATGCTTGCCGCGGGAGTTCCACAGATGCAGTCGTCCCATGGTGCCATCAATCTACTAGAGGACTGCAGCTGGCTGACCGTATTGGCCCTCCAGCTGTGGTACTTGACAGCACCCACCTCGAGCATAACTGATGCACTGTTGGAGTACGACAAGTCTTTCCAGGCCGAGGAAAGCTATGCGGATCCACCCAAGCCCAACTACAAAGCCAAGCAGCCGTACAAGAGCCAGCAGTCCATCTATGATCTGCGCTACCATCTCCTCCAGCTCTACTCAAAGCGTGGCCATTCCTTGGAGCAAACCTTGAATCCAATCACACACACCTCAGATCCAATGGATTTTCGCCTAAGGTCAGAAATTGAAATCTGCCATCTGCCTTAATATAAACTAAATTTTATACCAAATGTAATTCACAGCTGGATGCTACTGCAAACGTTGGAGGCGCTTGGCTATCATCATTGCACTCCGTTGGCCGAGGCGCAACTGCACGTGGACTTTGCCAGCCAGCTGGAGAACGAAGACCTCTGGCAGTGGGCAATATTTGTGCAGCTGCACATTAAGGATCGCAATCAGCGGGAACGCGCCGTGCAGCACACACTCCAGCAACATGTCAGCGTTTCTGCTGAGACTCTGACTGCGGAGGAGGAATTCATCATCGAACAGCTGGGCGTGCCCGAGTCATGGGTGGACTACGCCAAGGCGGTTAAGGCCGGCTCCATGGGACGCCGTCACGCTCAGGCCAAGTATCTGCTGAAGGCGAAGCATTGGGTGCAAGCACACGAGATAATCTTCCAGTATATCGCACCAGATGCCATCATAAATAGTGAGTACATTAATCTTATTGATATAGTTATGACTATTGATATATATAAATTGATATATTTTAATGCAGACAACCTGGAGTATTTGAACAGTTTACTCAGTCAGTTTGAGTGCACGGACGATGGTGGTGTTAAGGTGCCAAATTGGACAAATCAGGGTCAGATATTTCTCGACTTCATCGACATCAGTGCCAAGTTCGGGCAGATACATAACGTCACAAGCAATTCGGAAATGCTGGCGCGCTGGGAGAACCTCAAGCCACAGCTCAGTGAGATCTGCTCACGCATCAGCCTTCTGCCGTGCCCCACATCCAAGCATCGTCTGTGCCAGACTGAGATATCCAAGTGCCTGACCTGTCTGGTGCATGGCATACGCATTGTGTGGGAGGAGTTCGATTCCTGTTATGTCATAGAAATGGCCTTAGACCGGCTGCCCATGCCACAGGAGTTTATTACCAAAGAGCATAGCAACCTGCTCGAAGAATTTATGCAGAATATGCTGAATCATCAGTCACAGGAATCGGAATCCAAATCAGAGCCAGCACCACGCATGATTATACAAAATTAAATTAACATGATCAATCCATAGGAAACTAAGCAAAAGTCAACGATGAGCGGTGAGCGATGAGCGATTAGCGATGTGTAGTTTAGCTGCCAATTTAATTTAGGTTTATTAATTATAGGAAATAAGCATTAGTTCATTATCTATATATTGTCTATCTATCTATCAAGTGTTTCAAATATTAAATATTACGTATTCTTTGATAAACAATAAAATTGATGTTTATTTTATAACTTAAAAGACAACAAAAAACTCACAAATCTTTAACTTTAAGCTTTTGCTATTCATCGATAAATGGTTGAATTAAGCTCTTAAAAGCTTCAATTAAAATTGGATCGAGAGTTGCCAGTGACTAGCAAGAACTTTAGTTGTTGGATCAGTCGACGGCTGCCTTTCGACAAGAGCACGAGGATCTCGCGCATATCAGTTAAGCCCAATTTGTTGTTACCTGTGTGTAATACAGACTATTCAAGTTGAAATTGCAAGCTAGTTTTGAGTTGCTCAGCTGAAAATGACAGACGCCAAGCCAAGTTCCTGGTGCGGTAAGGGTGACAAGCCCCGTGATTTCGCCAAGCATAAGCCAATTATTTGCTACGACCAGCCGGAGGCGGCGGTTATCTCCAAGGTTGACTACGATGTAAGTGCCTTATATTCTAAACGATTTAAATGCTGATAGCAATTATTTTTGTTTTTCTTTCACAGAATAAACGCTTCTTGGCTGTGACTGGCGAGCTGCTGGAGACGTTGGTGGTGCCGAAGCGTGAGGCCCGCACCTGGACGATGCAAGCGGGCGATCTGTGCCGCATTACAGTGCACGAGGGCTCCCAGGTGGGCGACATGAATTTCTGGAATTTGGAGAATCGGCAGGAGCGTTTCTATTCGGGCAAAACGCGTCAGTTGCATGCCTCCCATCTGAAGGTGTACGATAGACTTTGGAGTTGCCTGCCCCATCTGCGTCCCATGGCCACGTTCGTGTTCGACACCCTGGCCAAATATGGCATCGATGAGGATGGCGGAGCATTGCATGATGTAATCGGCACACGCTGTGATGATTACACGTACAAGCTTATCACGGGTAAGCAGCGAGTGGGCAGCTGTCACAGCTCCCTCGTCAAAGCTGTGGTGGAGGAGCGCGGCATGTGCGAGCAGGATGTGCACGATGTGTGGAATATATTCATGTGCACCGGCTTCACCAGAGACACACAACAATATTTCTGCAAGCCAAGCCCCGCACAAAAGGGCGACTTTATCGAGTTTATCGCTGAAATGAATCTACTGGTTGCTCTCAGTTGTTGTCCCCAAGGCGATGTCTCCGTACCAGTCGGCGCTGAGGTTCCAGACGACAAATGTCATCCATTAAAGGTTGAAGTGTTCCGCCAGAAGTAATTGTTCATATGTAAAGCGCAACTGTATGTATTATAAAGCTTATGCGTAATCAATTGTTAATCTACAATTCTCCTGGGGCTGTTTGGCTACGGATCCCTGCCATGTTCAATTTGTTGCCATTTACGTTGTTGCTTTACGAATTCGATTGAATTAAACATAATTGTGAATATAACAAACTTGAAATCATTAAACGATCAAAAAAGATTTTGCGATTTTGACTCATTTTTGATCGCCCTGCGACTGAAATATTGGTAAGTGTTTGGGTTCTTGAATAGAGTAGGTTCTTGCGATTGCCGAACTGGAGACTTTTTATCACCTTCCCCCCTGAATATTTGCACTGCACAGCAAATTTGACTATGTAGTCGGCTTTTAATGTACCCCTAAAAATATGCCGCGCTAGTGCTGTTCATTAAGCGCAATTTGGGCACTGCAGCAATATAATTTACACATCCCCAAAAGTATACTCCATTTTATTTGGCTTGGGGGGGATATTTAACCAATGTAGCAACCTATTGTGTGGCACTGGTGCGTGCACATGCTAACCTACACAGCAACAAGCAGAGATAAAGATGTAGACTGACCATATTTCCCACCCAGTATAAACATAAAACTGGTTTTTGGTACACAAAGTATTTGTTTATTGGTAATTTGATTCGTGGATACTTGTACAGATTTTTAATGTTATCATTATTATTGTTATAACCGTCTGAGTACATTTTTCAGCATTAAATTACCCAAACAAATAGAAGTTATATTTTGATATTAAGTATTTTCTTTCATAGCATGGTCTCACTGAAAACATGCCAAATGTATTTTGTCTCATTTATCGGTTTGTGAAAATATTAAAAACAAATAGATTTGAGGCCGATGCACAATGAATATCAATATTATCGACGAGGAGAATCATCAGAAGCTGCGCGATTACATATTAAACCCAGATATATCCATTCATGATCCACTGCCCGATGTGTTGCCGCGCAAATTCAATGAGATGCGCCTGTTGCACATTCCCAAATGTTCCGGCAGCACCAAGCTGATTCCACGTAGGGATTGGGTTACAGGGGAAATTGCAGAGTTTGTTGAAGTCGCAGTGGAGGAGGTGGGCGCCAATGCTAACAACTCCATGTCCATGCAGCGAGAACCGGGTCTGCTGGAAGAGATAACGCGCGGCTCCCACATGAACTATCCCTTCTGGCCGGGAGGCTTTGCCATGGATCAGCCCACAGAGCTAGCCCAGCTAGAGGTGGACAACTTTCAATTGGGTGACAAGCTGCTAACAGTGCCGCCTGGCTTTGCCAGCGGTCACGACTTCTCGCTGGCCAAAACGAAGCCCGAGGAGGAGAGTGTTCCCGCCACCAGCAATGTAGATCTGCTCGAGAATTTGCAGGAAGATCTCGATGTGCAGCAGTGGCTGCAGATTACGCGCAGCGACAGCCAAAACGATTCAACAAAAGCTACACAACGGGATCTGCAGTTTTCGGCCGAATTCCAAGATGTGGACGATGAGATTATGAATGCGGATCTGAAACCAGTGCTGAACATATCGACGACGGCGAAAACCTTTAGCAGCGACTGGGCAGAGATGGTGGACATTAGCCAGCCGATTACCAACTTCAAGGAGCAGATACCCAGCCCAGCCATGGAGTTTCCCTTCGAGCTCGACGAGTTCCAGAAGCAGGCCATACTCAAGCTGGAGCAGCGCCAATATGTCTTCGTCGCGGCCCACACGTCGGCGGGCAAGACTGTGGTGGCGGAGTATGCCATTGCGCTGTCAAAGCGGGATCTGACCCGCACCATTTACACGTCGCCGATCAAGGCACTGTCCAATCAAAAGTATCGCGACTTTCGCAAAACGTTCAAGGATGTGGGCTTACTCACGGGCGATCTGCAGATCGAACCGACAGCCTCGTGCCTAATCATGACCACCGAAATTCTGCGCTCCATGCTTTTCTGTGGCAGCGATATAACCCGTGATCTGGAGTACGTCATCTTCGATGAGGTGCACTATATTAACAATCCGGAGCGCGGTCATGTCTGGGAGGAGGTCATCATACTACTGCCCGATCATGTCAACATTATCATGTTGAGCGCCACCGTACCGAACACCATGGAGCTGGCCGATTGGGTGGGCAGCACCAAGAAGCGCAAGGTGTATGTGATCAGCACACTGAAGCGTCCGGTGCCACTGATGCATTACCTCTACACTGGCGCGGGGGGCAAGAGTCGAGATGACATATTTCTGCTGGTTGATGCCCAGGGTAAATATCTGCAGGGCAACTACGAGAAAGCCGTGGAGCGCAAAAAGGAGATGCAGGGCAAATCGAAGGGGGGCGGACCCAAGAACTATGTCAGCGGCAAGCAGGATCAGAGCACTTGGATTGGCATGATCGATTTTCTCAAGCGCAACAACAAGATGCCCGTGGTGGCCTTCACCCTATCCCGCAATCGTTGCGATGCCAATGTGGCTGCCTTGCAGTCCGTCGATCTCAATACGGAGAAGGAGAAGGGCGCCGTGCAGAAGTTCTTTCTGCAGTGTCTGGCGAAATTGAAGCCGCCGGATCGCACTATTCCCCAAGTGATGACGTTGAAGGACGCACTAGAGCGTGGCATCGGGGTGCATCACAGCGGCATTTTGCCCATACTCAAGGAGATTGTCGAGATGCTTTTCCAGAACGGACTCGTTAAACTGCTCTTTGCCACCGAAACCTTCGCCATGGGCGTCAACATGCCCGCCCGCACCGTCATCTTTGATTCGTACAAGAAGTTCGATGGCATCGAAATGCGCATTCTGAAGCCGGGCGAGTACATACAGATGGCGGGGCGAGCAGGAAGGCGTGGCCATGATGAGAACGGCACGGTTATACTCATGTGCAAGGCGAGCGTGCCGCCATCGATGGAACTGCGTCCCATGATCCTTGGCCTGCCCGAGAAGCTGCAATCGCAATTCATTCTACGTTACGCCGTTATCTTGATCTGCCTGCGCATCGAGAGCATTAAGGTGGAGGACATTATGAAGTTCAGCTTCAAGGAATTCAATCTGAAACTACAGCTGCCCACGCAACAGAAGCAGCTCCAACTGGCCGAGGATAAGTTCGCAATGCTTCCCACACTGGGTAAGCATCTGGAGCCGCTGATCTACTTCTGCGACAAGTCCGTGGAGTACTGGAAGGAAAAGCATCGTATTATGGTAAGTGAATAACTGAATTATAATATAATTATCAATGCCATAAAGAATACTTCTTCTTCTCCTCCACACACATCCTTACAGAAATTCATCGTAACTCAGGCGAAAATCCAAAAGGAATTGAAAGTTGGTCGCATCATTGTTATCACGCAAGGCAAGCACTACAACAAGCTGGCCATTTTGCTCAATGTGAAGTCCGTGCTGGGCAAGGACACCATCTACAAGGTGCTGGTGCTGGACCATCAGTTCAAGAGCAGCGATAGCGACATTGTGGATCGTGGCGAGTTCTATTACAAAATACTCTCTTTGACGCCACAGAATAAGTTCTTCCAGCCGGAAGGCATTGGCGGACACACGGTGCTCGATATCAAAGCAATCGATATAATCAACATTACCAAGTCGACAATTAAGCTGGATGCCGATGTCATCATACGCAACTGGGAGCAGCGACAGTTGGAGCGCTTCAAGGATAGCCCGCCCGGTGCAACCGTCGTAAAGGCCGTCACGGAGTTGCATCAACTAAATGAGGCGTACAATGCCAATCCGGATAGCATTAAGTATATCAACATGTCCAAGGAGATCAATGTTAAAGCAGATAGTGAAGTGGCCATGCTGCACTATGTGGATCATCTGAAACGACAGCTGGATGATGTCCTGCCGCACACCAATATTGCCGGCTTTGAGCAGGAGTTTGCCAAGGTCTATGAGCGACGTGTGCTCGAGATTCATATCGAGGAGCTGAAATTCAAGAACTCTGCAAAGAATTTAACACTATATCCGGATTACTGCAACAAGCTGCAAGTGTTGCGCGCTTTGAACTACATCGATGAGCTGAACGAGGTGACGCTCAAGGGGAAGGTGGCCTGTGAGATGGGCCAGAACGAGCTGCTGATCACCGAGCTGATACTCTGCAATATGTTCAACGATCTGGAGCCGGCGGAAATAGCTGCGCTGTTATCCGGTCTGGTGTTCCAGGCCAAAATTCAGGGCGAGCCCTTCATCCCAGAGCCGCTGAAGAAGTGTGTTGCCGCCTTCGAGCAAATCAATGATACCATCTTGGCCGAGGAGCAACGCTGCCAAGCATCAATTCAGGCTGAGAGTAACCTTAACTTTGGACTGCTCGAAGTCGTCTATGAGTGGGCCAAGAACAAGGCAAGTGTCAGCTAAATTCTTTCTTCAAATTCGAATTATATTGTTTTTTTTTTTATGGTTAATTTGCAGCCCTTTGCCGAGATCATGAAGCTGACCGAGGTGCAGGAAGGCATCATAGTGCGCTGCATACAACAGTTGGATGAAACACTACGCGATGTCAAAACTGCGGCCATACGCATTGGCAATCCGGGCTTGCAGTCCAAAATGGAAGAGGCCTCCGCGGCCATAAAGCGTGATATCGTCTTTACAGCCAGTTTGTACACGGAAATATGAAGCGCCGAGCTAAATGTAATGAAATGAAAGAAAAAAGCTAGTTTGGTTTTTGGCTTAAACTACAAATTATACATCGTGTCAATTACAATTCCAGGGGATACTTATAAAAATGTAAAAATATTTATGTGTGAAGTAGAACAACGCAAACGCCACATGGGCATTAGCCGATTTCATCGGGATTCCGGCTTAAACTTTGGCGGCACCATCATGCCAGTCATGTGCTTCTGTTTCTTGGTCTTCTTCGATTTGCCGGCGCCGGATTGAAAGTCGTGCCAGCTGTTAACACGACTCTGGCGAGATTCCTCAAAGTTTTGCTGCCATTCGCGGTCCGCTTTGACGCGCTCCTCTTCCTCGATTTCAGTTTCACGTTTTCGCTTGCGCTCCTCCTGGTCGCGCTGATCGAGTTTTTGTCGCCGCCGCTCCATGTCGGCAAACAGTTTCATGACCATTACATAAATGGCATGTTTATATTTCACAGGATCATCTTCTGGTATGGGCTCAAATGATCTGCCCTCCTTTTTGAGCTTTTTACGTTTCTCGGCAATCTGAAAACACCCTTATTTAGTATGCTACCAAAAAACAATTGGACTTAAGGGTAATCGGTGTGTGTTTACCATATGATCTGTGCGTCCCTTGGCTTCCTCGTACACCTCCAAACACTTTTTGCGTGTTAGGTCGTTCTCCAATATTTTCCAGGAACGTGCAACGATGTCGAATGCCATTTGGGCGCGCTCCTGATTATCATGATTCTTGTCGGGATGTACTAGTATGGATAGGGTGCGATACCGTTTTTTTATGTCAGCCACCTCGACATCTGGTTCAATTTGCAGCACCTCGAAAGGATTAAGATTGAAGTATGTGGAACCTGGACGAAGTAAACGATCAATTTGTTGAGTAGGAGTTAGTACTGAATCGCGTTTTTCAATTTCTTTCACCTGCGAAAATAGTCACAAAATCGTTTATTATATGTGTATTACAATTAAATTCTATTTCTTTATTAATTTTTTTTTGGGCTGTCTTTGGGAGAGCCTCGCCTACCCGCAGCCTTCAGCGTTGGCTGTCACCATCACTAAACTTACTTCAGTGTAGAAGTCCTCGAACGATTCTTTTGATGTGCTGGGCTGATCTCGAGACGTCGTGGAGGACATTTTGTGCTTTTTGTTTCAGTTACGTTGAGTTTCTTTTGTTATTATTATATTTTCCGAGTTTTATTTGATGAAAATGCACAAGGTACAGCCAGTATTGCTTAATAACGCACACTCAGTGTTGCACAATGCTGCAAAAAAAATTAATGTAAATATTTCTGGTTGGTCTACAAACTTATTGATTTTTATTAACTCACGGATTAAAAAGAAAAAAACGAAAGCCACAAATATTATATCAGTTAGATTTATCTGCGTTAACTGCTTTCGAGGCCAAAGAATTACGACCATATCACTCGGTATTAAACAGAACAATTCCTCACTGAACAGCTGTTGCTGTTAAAATTTCCCTGAAATGGAACACTGGAAAAACGTTGTTAATAGATAAAGTCCCTTCATTGAATTTGTTTCATTTGTTTCATCTGATTTGAGATTTTAGTTTTGTTCAATGATTTTTAAGTTAAATCGGATTGGATTTTTGTACAATTCTGTAATTCGAACACAAATTAGGCGAGCAGCAAAGTTGGGCAGTACTCAACTGAAAAACAGAATGAGCACGTGCACAGCTTTAGACGATAACAAATTGGATATTGTTTGGATGGATTTGGAAATGACTGGACTGGACATAAATACAGACCAGATACTGGAACTCTCCTGTATTATAACCGATAAGCATCTCAATATTAAATCAGAGGGTCCTTCCTTTGCTATACGACATCCGCAACATGTGTACGACAACATGAACGAATGGTGCATGAAGCATCATTACGAATCTGGACTGGTGGATAGATGCAAAGAGTCGAATGTAACTCCAGAGCTGGTGGAGAACATTGTCTTGTCGTACCTTAAGGAGAACATACCACAGGGACAATGTCCGTTAGCTGGAAATTCTATATATATGGATCGTTTGTTTATAAATAAATTTTATCCCGCGGTCGATAAATATTTATTATATCGGATCATAGACGTGTCTACCACTAAAGAGCTGGCTACCAGATGGTATCCGGACGTGTCAAAAGCCACTCCACGCAAAATGCTCGCTCATCGCAGCTTGAGCGACATTAAGGAGAGTATTGCAGAATTGAAATACTATAAGGAGCATTTATTTAAATGAATTTAATATTAAGTTCGATCCAATTTAAATGCAAATAAAACTGTTCAGTTAGTACGAATATGAAAGCAAAAGCAAAATTCTATAATTATAAACAAAAATACGACAGCAATAAAAAACTCGATTTCTCAATAGACCCCATTTATATTGTTATGAGCGGGCGAGAAATTGTTTGCCTCCTGTCGTCTCCTTGAGCCTCGGCTGGCGGCATTGCTCTCGCTACCCGCTCCCGTCACCTTCTCAGCTTCGATGCGTCCGGACAGAAAGCTTGCAACGCGCTCCTGCAAGTAGATCTCATTGAAAAATGCGAAGGCTATTTTATATCTTGCATGCTTGTATTTACCAGATAACCATTGGTGAGCAGCTGCAGATCGCCGTAGAAGGCAAGCATGCGTTTGAAGAGAGATTCAGCTTCCTCCTTGGATATATTCTTAACTTTATCCAAACGTGTAATGGTTATTATGCGATTGTTTATATAAACAATATGATGAACGACCTCGGTGGTGGTGTGTGCCAAGTTTCTATTAAGCCAATTATATGTTAAGCTATATAAGCTTATATGTTCCCTAAACATTTTTTAAGCTCACTCACTTCGGTAAATTAGCCGCAACGTTGGCGCTGTAGTTAACCAAGTGAACGACTCGTCTGGCTGATTCGCGTGTCAGCAGGACGATTAACTGTTCCAGGGTTACGGGTCGAGCTTGATTTTCCGGCTCGTCAGCACTGAGATAGCCCCACAGTTCCTTGGCCTTTAGCATGGCCTGCTTTGGGTCTGTTGCAATCTGTTTGCAAATGCAAATTCAACGACCTTCATTCAATTTCAATTAGTTGATTTCTACTTACCAGCTCGGCAACATAGAATAGCACATGTATCGCTTCTCTGCTCTGTTTTTTGAGTGCTCGAGCCTCCGCGAGAGTTCTTTGTGTCAGTCTCCGCTTCAGTTTGCGGGAGAAGCGTTGACCATGATGGATTGCCTTGATGGCGCCCTTCTCGTCCGGTGCCGTGCCTGCTGGCTCGTTATCATCGTCTTGCGGTGCTGCAGAGCGGTGAAATTAAATTGTATATGAATTTGATGACATTGGGCTTTTACTTTTATTATATGTGAATCAATCTCGATCTGTATTTTTTGTGTAACAACGTTGAATTTCTCAGTGCAGTCGAGTCTTATCTCACGACTTGCCGCTTATTAGGCAAGCGACATAAGTAAAAGCAAAAATATTCAAAAATAGCTTGATAACCTTAGCGGGTCGCCGCGTCTCTGTTTTTATTTTTCTTCTTCTTTTAATACGGATAGAGGCTGACGACGGAGTTTAAAAATAAATCATGAGACGTGCATCTCACAAAATGCGTACATGCGATTGTAGAATGTACAATGAATCTACAAAGGATCACTGATCACTGAAAAATCGTGAATAGAAATTCCCACAAAATGTTTGTGATATTAGAATAAAAGTAATTCTTAAAATTTAAAACAAATTATAATGAATAAATTGTATCAAACTTCCTAATGCACCATTATTATGTAATATATATTATGGGAGGTATTCAACAACTCAAAATAATTAAAATATACATATATGTATACCCACTCACCGTCTGTCTGATCCTGATCTGTGGGAATGGGCACCAGATATTTGTCCACGAATTTGTCGCCGGCTGTGAAGGCGCCATCGATGCGGTCCGCTGCATAAGTTGTCAGAGAACTTTCGAGCACTGCGTTCCCGATTTGTTTAACAGAATCGGCACGCTTGAGCACAGGTCGCACCAGGTGATCCGACATGTATTCCTTGGTATTCCAATACATCTTTAAGCACAAAATGATGGCCTACGTAAGCAAAATTCAAGCCATATTGGCGCATTTTGGGCCCTGGCTACACTTACCATTTCGGGTGGCAGATATACGAGCGGTATGCGCTGCTCCAATATATCAAGACTCTTGCACATCACATTGTCCAGACGCTTGATGGGCATCTCGAAGAGCTTGACTGCCGGCTGAACTGTTTCGTATGCAGCGGTAATGGTTGCCTCCGCTGTCTCAAAATACCAGCTGAAGAGGCGATTGTTGTTCTTAACTTTATCGTAGATATTTTCGACACGTTTAACACTCGATTCCACCAGTGGAATGGATGTGATCCGATCGATGGCTTCCATGTGCAGTCCCCAGCTCATTGTTGCAGTTGCTTTATGAAATTTAAATATATATTAGACCATCACTTCGTTGGGCCTTAACTCGTAGTACTAACCCATTTTAAAGCGGTGTGAAAATATTAATTCGAGTATTAAAAAATTCTTAAGTTTTGATATGTTTAATTTAATTGATAGATTTTTTTCACTGTTCGAGCACACGTCCCTTTTAAGCGGACGTTGAATTGAGACTGAGCCAAATTTGCAGTGTGCGCTTCATAGACACTGTAATCGCATCGGGGCTCGTCATGCACAGATTGACCTTTACCGCCCATTGATAAGCCCTACCTAGACTACACTTATCAGCAACATGCCATTTGTAGCACGTTAAATAAGTTCCAAAGTGCACTCAGTAGCGGATTCCAATAATCCCAATAAAAAAGAAACGTAGGGACTCCATCTGATGTGAACATGAATCATTTGCTAATGCAAATCTTCTAATATCTTAATTGCTATTCGAATAAATGACTTCACAGTTTAAAGTGCATTTCAAACACGATTGTGTTAGACTTAGGCATTATTGTCGGAACACTCAAATCGTAGAGTGCCACAATTGGTTTAGCGCAGATAGCTCTTGGAGCTGACGGTTTATATTATTAAAGGAACCAGACGGCGTTAATTTTAGAGCAAAATGTGTTGACTCTCACAAGCACAAGCTTGAGTTGGAGCTGTTGCTAAGATGTGATTTCTGTAATCAGCCAGACATTTTTATTACAGCATAAAGTCGTTAAGCAATATGTAATTATCAATCAGAGAAAATATCTGCAGCATGTCTGTAGCTGACGAAATTCTTTGTATTCTTTGCAAAGTGTTATTTGAATTTGAACCGATATTACAAATAAAAATCGATTGGAATTAGCTGAAAATGTACGGGTAGTGCTGTAAAACTCAGGGTAGCGAGTTAAGTGCTGAAAAACGCATACTTATTAGTTGGTAAATTTGTTTGTTGCGTGTTTTTAGCGTTTGCGTTGTGTCTTAAATATAAATTGTTTAATATTTATGCAGTGTTGATATTATGTTTTCATAGTAGTGTACATGTATTGCAATTATAAAATGAACATATATTTAAGATTAATCTGCCTGTTGGGCGCCTCAAGCGTCGGTAAGTAGAGCGACTCTCAGAGCCCCAGCCACACCCAAGCCTCAAAGCGAGGCTTAATGTGATTCACTGAGAATTCAGATAATACAAAATTGTTGTTTACAGCGCTTGGACAATTTAATGACTTGGATCAGCAGAATTGCATTATACCCAAAATATTGCAGGGCTCATGGTTCTCATGGGAGACTGGCCTGCCCACCCAGACGGTAATAGATGCGACCTCGATGTCGAGGCGTGGATACTGCATCAATTATGAGCGACACCATGGCGATGAGTATTCATTTGTGTTTAAGGAACGATCGGTGAATTGTTATCATTGCGTGCGTACGATAATACGCACGTTGAACATCTTTGAGAAGTTCGAAGGACCTTGTGTGGGTCTGCCAACTGGCCAGGAGCCCACAGTGGCAAACGTGTGCAAGGGCATTAAGGATGATCAGCAGCTAATCACATTGTTCAACGAGAATTTTGTGCCTATCAACTGCCGCTCATCTCTCGAGGGTGTTTGGCATTTTACGTATCAGGCAAGTGGCATAATTAACTTGAGCAATTAATCAATTGTATTCAACTCATTTCGTCTCCCATAGAATCGATTCCGCTTCACGGGCGTGTGCAACAAGCCAGATGCTCGCATTCAATCATGTCAAACGGCGGGCACACAGTTTCTGATACAGAATCAAAAGTTCAACATTACTTATCAGAAATGTGAGGGCATGGAGGGCACATTTAGTGGAACAGTGGAGTTTAGTTGCTTGGGCGATTGGTTTGTGGGCAAGAATCATTATTTTGCCGTTGCCAATACAAAGGAGTCGCGTAAGGATGAGAAATATCGTTGCTTCCTCAAGAATCGTGATGACGATCTCTATGTGGGCGTTTCCATCACTGCCGAGTGTAATACATTGAAAACACCTGAAAATTCACCCGAACGTCTCAAGCTAACACCGGTCAAAGCTGAATTTGTGGAACCCGGCTGTACGCTACCTCAGAACTTCTCCGGCGAGTGGGTGAACACGGCGAACATAGATGCCGATGTGTCCATCAGTGAGACGCACATCAATGAGACATATTATCCCGACAAGGCTCGTTACCGCAAAACGATTTATGTGTGCCGCGAGCGTCGCGGTGATCGTGTCATGATGGCGCGTCTCACAGTCGATGGTTGCCAAAAGGATTACGTCTGCTTTGACTTTATGCCTAGGCATCACAATATCATACGCTACCGTAAGGGCCTAGCTGTGATCAAGGATGATTTCAGTACAGTGTGTTCGTGGGTACAGTTTCCCAATTCCGAAGCATGGAAATACGATTTGTTTTTATCGAGAAATCCGGTTCCTGTACGTTGTCCAGTAGCTGGCAAGTTCAATTTCACACAACGAGGAGAACACCCATTTAGAACGAGGTATGCAAAGGGGAGCTTACTATTTTACATACAAAGATTGAAACTTAATTTGGCATTACTTTCAGAATCCTGGGTGGTGTTACACTGAGTCCACGTCCCGATATTCACTGCAAGCAAAACATATCCGATTTATCTGTTTGCGATACGGACCAAAAGGAGTTGGCTGTCGATGAGAACTATTGCCTGTCTGTGGATCATTTGGGTCGACCTGTTGACATTTACAGTGATCCCGATTATCGAATGAAATGCATTGGTTTCTGGAAGGAGAATCTCAAATCCTATCTAATCACCTACGATGATTTGGATCCGCTGTCCAAATACCGCTGTTGGGTCTATCAGCGTGCCGACCTCAATCGCGTCCTCATGTCCCAGGCGGTGGGCGCATTCTGCAAACTCAACCAAGACGTTACCTCGTGGAATCATTCGGAGGGTGCCGCAGTCGCCATCGATGCCGTTGAGTACGAACGTGAACGCGACGATTGTCCAATGTATTTCGACGACGGCCTCAACCCTTGGCGACCATCAGATGCCTCGAATATTGTCTTTGACTGGGACTTCTACAAAGCCGGCGCAGATCGCATGGCTTCCGTCATTAGTACGCAAATAGCCTGTAGCATTGTCGCTGTTTGCTTGCTAGCCAGGTATTTAGTCGCTTAATAAGGGATAAGATAAGTTTTACAGTTCCGTCCATATTATCCGAGCCGTAAAGTATCTTTTTAGAAATATGTAATTATGTGCCTTTCAGAATGCAACGAAGTAACGAAATTTCAATACACTAAATTTGCAACATACATATCTATAGTTTATAAGTACAAATTAACAAGAGAATTTACAACTCTTCATTATGCAATTATACAAATCTCAGTTTCAAGATTTAACATTCCGTACACAAGCGAATCTCAAATGTATTGTACAAACGAATAAAGCAGCTAAACAATTTTAAAGTAAATGTAACTTTTAATACGATAATATAGTTGTGGCCAATCTATAACATGCCAACATAGCTCTACAAATATCTTGAGAATCTATATTAGCATAGAATCAATTAAATTCTTCAGCAAAATCTTTAAAATAAAAAATATTTCCCAGCTATTTTGAGGTCTTTTTTTGGGCGGCACCGATAACAACTCAATCGATAGTTCTCCTCACCTCGATTTATAGTAGTCATCGATGATTTCAGTGCTGTGAAATTTGAGAAAATAAGCTAGTCGGATGTTCTGAGGAATAACAAGTGTTTTTATATTTTGAACGAAATTTCTGATAATACAATTCACTAAACATGCTGTCATCTATTGTATTGCGTGGCGCAGCTCGCTGCAATGGTGTGTATATTATTAAACTGCAAATATATATGAGCATTAGCTCACAATCGTTTTTATTATATAACCGCACCGATAGCCGCAAATCTTGTTAAGTCCGTGCGTCTTACGCCACTGAAGGCCTACTCCACCATTGTGGCCAACACGCAACGTCAAGCTTTGGCAAAGCCTTTGGCACTGACCAAATCATTAGTGGTATGTGTAACTAAATACACATACACCCATGTGTGTGCCTTAATAGCACATTATATTTAATCGGATAATCCCACTTTTCAGCCCATTGCAAAGCGCGAGATTTCAGTGAGTGCTCCTAGAATGGCTTCAGCTTCCAGTAACCACACAGGCTTGTGGACTATTGAGCGTATTGTGTCTGCCGGTCTCCTGGCCGTCATTCCTGCAGCCTTCATTGCACCCTCGCAGATAATGGATGCACTTCTAGCTGTGTCGGTTGTCATTCACACCCATTGGTAAGATGAACATTTGGAGGCAAACACTCAACATAGTTCATCTAATCTCTTATAATCTTGCAGGGGCGTTGAAGCTATGGTTGTCGACTATCTGCGTCCAGCAGTTGTTGGCAACATTCTGCCAAAGGTTGCTCACATTGCTCTGATCATAATATCCGTTGCTTCCCTTGGCGGCCTCTTTTACTACATTAAAAACGATGTGGGTCTAGCCAATGGCATCAAGCGCTTCTGGTCAATCAAGGGCAAGGAATCCGCTTAAATGCTAACAAGGGAAAACGAGTACGGAATCATATAAAATCCAGTTATTAATTGTCTTTTAGTAAACGAACGATATGATCTAGACGATTGCTTGTTAGTCATTAGCAGTAAATAAAAATAAATTGTAAAAAGCACATGAACAAGTATTTAAAAAAAATATATATGTATTCATAACTTTATTTCAAACGAGTCGGCACTCATGTTTTGGTAACGGCAACAAAAATAGAAACTTCCTTCCTTTCTTTGATGATGTATAATGAACATTTAACTGTTGCAATCATAGAGGTTGCGTCATGACTTGGGCTCCACGTTATTTGCATAGAATATTCTAAGCGCGTCCCATTGTTTTGTGTGCAGTAAAATATGCGGACGACACTGACGCATGTGATCTACGGCCTGATCTGGGGTCCAACCGTTTTTCTAAAAATAATTTATACAATTAGACAAAAGAATTTATGTAATGGGTGAAATTCCATAGAGTACCAGCATTAAGTAGCAACCCACTAAGGTGGCGCTCCGGGTTCGTCCCGCCTTGCAGTGGACATAAACTGAACCGTTATTCTCCGGATATTGCGTTGAGTTCAATCCAGCTATGCGTTTGGACAGTGGCAAAAAGCGATTTATGAACTCTACGCCACGGAAGAGCTTTTCTTGGTTGGGCGACTCGAAAATGTCTGTAGTAGCCAGTTGCAGGAAGTCTACGCCAAGAGCCTTCCATTTGGGTAAGTCGTTCGAAAAGGCGGTGAGCTCGTAATCCTCGTTCATTGACACAACAGCTTTCATGTTTTCCTTTTCTATTAACTGCTGAAAAATAAATTTGTTTTAATATCGTTTCACGTAAGTGAAGCAAATAAAAGGGTTTTAGCTGAGACTGCATGACTTGGTGATACCCTGCACCCAGCTTCAATTTTAGAAATTTCACACTCGAAGTTTCTCATATATGGAAGAGAGAGCCTGACAGATATACATTGAATCGAATGTTGATTAAGAATAAATCACGCAAATTGTACCAAACAGGCTGGACTTAATATTTATAAATATAAATATTCAATTTACAACTTTCAGGCCTCTTCAAAGCATTTTCTGTTAATATAATAAGCTTTACTTTTGGAAACTTTAATGGGTATGGAGTGTTAATATATCGTAATGGGTGTGTTTATGGCTTTGTGTTGCATTACTTACGTCATTCGCCTGACTCCGAAAGGGAAGCGCCCCCAATATGACATTGTCATCGATGCGATCGTACCAATTCCTTGAGGTGGCCTTTTCCATAAGCACATTGTAGAGGAGCGTCGGGTAGAAGGAGACACGTGCAAGCATAGCCGCCTTTAGGGGTTGATACACACACACACAAACACAGAGGCACACAGGTGGGCAAGGAGAGAATTAGGATTAGTAATAGCGTCACTCGACGTGTTCACGCTTAGCGTAAGGGCGACAACAGCTGTAAACTTTCACCGCCGTTAAGCATGAATTGTTTAATGCGTGACTGTCTGAGTCGTTTGGAGCGCGGCTTGGAACTGGTTTCATTGATGTTGTTGATCGCAGTGTTTGTACCTGGGTTGCAGTCGTCATCGTAACTTACACTCATTTCAATGCCTTTATTTTCTTAGGTTCTCCGGTTCAAAAGAACGATGGGTCACGCTTTAACAATGCGTTTACGTATATTAATTAGTATATTCACAAATTATCACTCTAATATTTGCGGTGCTGCTTTGGGGCATTTACATTATGAAATGGACCAACAATGCACACACTACACTTATTTTGCAAACATTTCAAACACTGGTCCTCTAAAGATGCAGTAGCGGTGGACATACCGGTACATCAGCCGATGTTGGTCGAGATAACATAGCATGGTAACAGATGTCAAATATTAAAAATAAACAAAGTAATACAGTCGAGCTTCCTTACAATGAATATTGTGAAGTATTATGAATTTAATTCAAGCATATAACGTTTTCTTTATTCAAAGCCTTGAAGCGAAGTAAAATATCTGCAAAATGAAGTTTATATATAGTTAAGTAATTTTGCTTTGTTCAAAAATTATATACAATCTTAAATATGGGAGAATAATTGAATATGTATATAATTGATAGCAGTGACTGTTCACCAATTTGAAAGTCACATTATTGCTCATATCTGACATTGCGCCGTTGGCAACACTGGACCACAATTATTATTGCAACAAATAAAAGGTTCTTTAATCTTACGTGTGAAAATTGTTAAAAAGTTGTTGGAAAGCATTGGACCCACAATTTCACCAACATACACTGGTAGAAAATGTGCTAGCGATAATACGAACCGGAAGCCCCAAACACTATCAAACGGTGAAAATACAATCAGTGTGTGCACAAAAGAAAAAGTAAATAACACAACACGTCAGACCTGGCGAGACACGAAGGGAATTTATTAAAATTGCTAGTACATTTAAGATTTATGTTTCGAACGCAGAGACACTTTCCCTACATGATGAGACTGCCCAGCATGATGTGCATTTTGATGCTCCTCGTCCTCATCCAATGCAGCCAGCTGTTGCGGGCGGAACTGCAAGGCCCACTCTCTGAAAGCGCCAGCGCGACACCAATAACTGAGCCCGAGGCCGTTGCCGCTACGGATCCACACAGTCAGGGGGGTAAAACTGATGGTGACGAGGTAACGACTGCCGAAAAAGATGCTAATGCCCCACCCGTCGATTCTTCATCGTCAGCACCAGGCAGCAATGACCGCAAAGCGGCCAAACTTAAGGAAACGGAATTTGCGCCACGCACCAAAGTAATGCCAGCTGCATTGTTCGAGCGGCTGTGGAACGACAGTTTATTGAAACAGCAGAAGTTGAAGGCCCAAATCGAAGCCATTGAGGCGAGGCAAGCACCCGCTGTAGTTGTCGAGCGGACGCCCGAGCAAGTGGAAGGTAAGTAATTGAGAACACATGAGAAAAAATCTTGCCGAGTATTGCAATGTTTGTGTTGCAGCGGAGAGTCTCTACGAGAATGCCATGGAGATGTTAACCAAGCCGCGCACTGACAAGCGTGTCGCATTCACACTGCTGCGCAAGGCGGCCGCATTTAAGCATCCCAAGGCACGAGCCGAACTGGCCATGGCTGTGCTCTTGGGTCATTGGATGTCATTCGATTTCCATCATGCTGCTGATGAATTTGAGAGCCTGGCGAACGATGGCGTGCCAGAAGCTCACTTGGGTCTTGGCTTTCTGTACTCGGTGGGCGTGGGTGGCAAGAATGTCAGTCAGCCGCTGGCACTGCTGCATTATACGCTTGCGGCATTGGGCGACAATACGCTTGCCCAAATGGCAATGGGATATCGCTATCTGTACGGCATCAATGTGCCCATCAGTTGTGAGAAGGCCTTGATCCAATACAAGCGTGTGGCCAAGAAGGTAGCCACAAAGGTCACGTTTTCTAATGGCCCGATGGTGCACAGAGTCAAGTTGCTTGATGAGCTCGAGAATCCGGGCAGTCACGAGACGGAAGTTGTCGACTACTATCAGCTGCTGGCTGACAAGGGCGATGTGCAGTCCCAGATTGGCCTGGGCCAGCTGTACTATCAGGGCGGCAAGGCTATACAGCAGGATCATCAGAAGGCCTTGGAATACTTTACACTCGCGGCCAATGCAGGCAATGCCATTGGGTTTGCCTTTCTGGGCAAGCTCTATCTGGAGGGCAGTGAGCAAATCAAGGCAGACAACGAGACGGCCTTCAAAGTGAGTGCAAATATGGCTTAATATATTGTTGAATGGATTTAGACCATATCTTCTTTGTGTCCATCAACAGTACTTCTCTAAAGCCTCCGAAATGGGTGATCCTGTGGGTCAGAGTGGACTGGGTCTGATGTACCTCAAAGGTCTTGGTGTGCCCAAGGATTCTATTAAGGCTTTGTCGTATTTCACTCAGGCTGCTGATCAGGGTTGGGTCGATGGACAACTGCAACTGGGCACAATGTACTTTAGTAAGTTATAGATTGCATCAGGACTTTCTGACGTAGTCTGACAGTAATTGCAATTTGGAATTTCTTTGATTTCATTTTAGCTGGCAATGGTGTGAAGACTGACTACAAACTGGCGTTAAAATATTTTAACTTGGCCACACAGTCAGGCCATGTCTTGGCCTACTACAATCTGGGCGTTATGCATGCCTACGGCATGGGCATGCTGCGATCCTGTCCTGCAGCTGTTGAGGTAGCTTTTATGTAGTTATTTTAGGAATTGTAGGATGTATCAATTTGCTCTTATTTTATATATATTTATTAATTAATCTGATCAACTTAATTATCCTCCCTGCTTAGGTTCGATTTTAGGTCTTCGGAATCGACTTTTACTTGTGAAATAATTGTATTATGTTATTGCAGTTCTTTAAAAATGTTGCGGAACGTGGTCGCTGGAGCAATAGATTAATGCACGCCTACAGTGACTATAAACTAAATCGCGTCGATGAGGCCTTTATGCAGTACTCTCTAATGGCCGAAGTTGGCTATGAGGTGGCCCAAAGCAATGCAGCATTTCTGCTAGATCGCGAGGAGGTGCATGTCTTCAACGATCGCCACGAAGATTTGATTCGTGCGTTTTACTACTGGAAACGGGCTGCCGGACAGGGCTATTCGGCGGCCCAAGTCAAGCTTGGCGATTACTACTACTATGGTTGGGGTACCAAAACAGATTTCGAAACTGCTGCCGCTCTTTACAGGTGCGTAACTTTTGTATTGTCCAGTACATGCTTTTAAATATATATTTCGATATCGATTCCAACTATAGGAAAGCTTCTGAGCAACAGTACAATGCCCAAGCCATGTTCAATTTGGGCTATATGCATGAGCAGGGGCTAGGCATGAAGAAGGATTGGCACCTGGCCAAGAGATTGTACGATTTGGCAGCCGAAACGAGCGTGGATGCCAAAGTACCTGTGACAATAGCGCTATTTAAGCTGCAGATGCTCGCTAAGATTGAGTCAATAAAGGAGGTAAGGCTATAGGATTATTAACGATTACTTAGAATGCGAGCACTGATATGAAATTTACGTATCTCAGTCACCATACAGATTCATCTTCTACATGGATGAAAATATTGCTGCCAATTGGGATTTATATATGATCACAATACTGACACTCCTGCTGGGCATTATAATGTACACAAGGCGTCCCTTTCAACAGCCTGAACCGGTAGCTGCGCAGCCACAAGCGCCGCCGCAGCCTCCAGTCAATGATGTAGCAGCTGCTGTGCCGGTTAATCCAGCTCTAGGCGCTGCACCATCATCCGCAGAAGCTGGAGCGTCAGCAACTTTTGTTAGTGCACCAGAAGCAACAAGTACATCAACTATACCGGAGACTCCAAAGGCGTCCAGTGGCGGCTCGTCCAGGCCAACAGTCACGACAAGCAGCTCATCCGTTGGGACGAGCAGTACCAGCACCAGCAGCAGCAATACACTCGATCCCACTGATTAGTCTTAACGAATTGGTTAATCATCCCTAGTTTAATTAGTGACCATGTAAATATTTATCATCTATTTTTTATGATTTCTAAATGGAATTTTTAGATATTTAAAATCAGAAATATCTTACTCAAAAGAAATATATATATGTGTGTTGTACTGAGAAAAAAAAAACAAAAACAAAAAAAGCCTTATCCATGCAAGATGATTCCAAACTATAAATTGAAAGAGAAATCGAATGTTTTTTATAATTGTTAGTATATTTATGTTGATTTTGTTGTTGAATCGTGTGCCAGATTTGTGAATTTCTAGCCTAGGCATAGTAGTTAAGATTAGCTTTCTTCTTGGACTGCACCTCCATGATGGCATCCATGAAGTCCTCGTGCGTCACCGATGTGGCGGAGCGGCGCAGGGCAATCATGCCAGCCTCAACACAGACCGCCTTGCACTGGGCCCCATTGAAGTCGTCAGTGGAACGCGATAGCTCCTCAAAGTTCACATCGTTGCTGACATTCATTTTACGTGAATGGATTTGCATGATGCGCGCACGAGCCTCCTCATTTGGATGTGGGAACTCGATTTTGCGATCCAGTCGACCGGAACGCAGAAGGGCGGGATCCAAAATATCGACACGATTCGTGGCTGCAATGACCTTAATATCGGCAGTCGAGCTGAAGCCGTCCAACTGATTTAGTAGCTCCAACATGGTGCGCTGCACCTCACGATCACCAGCCTTTTCTGAATCGAAACGTTTGGTGCCAATGGCGTCCAACTCATCGATGAAAATGATTGCGGGCGCCTTCTCCTTGGCCAGCGCAAAGGCATCGCGCACCAACTTGGCGCCATCGCCAATAAACATTTGCACCAGTTGAGGTCCAGCTAGCTTTAGGAAAGTGGACTTTGTTTGGGCAGCGCAAGCACGGGCGAGCAGCGTCTTGCCAGTGCCAGGCGGTCCGTACAACAATACACCTGTAAATTAAACTATTAACATCCAGCGCTTTCATTTGTGAGTGAATCGCACTAACCCTTTGGTGGATGAATGCCTAGATTCTTGAACTTTTCCTTGTGTGTCATGGGCAATACGACAGCTTCAATGAGCTCCTGGATCTGTTTGTCCAGACCACCAATATCGGAATACTGCTCTGTTGGACGCTCATCAACCTCCATGGCCTTAACACGTGCATCGTACTCAGCTGGCAGGGTTTCCAGAATTAGGTACGAGTCCTTGTTGACGCCAACCAAATCACCGGGCTTCAGCTTCTCGGCATCGACCAGACCAATGACTGGCAAGAAATATGCCTGGCGCGTAGATGTTTTAATAACGGCACATTTGCCCTTGCGCTGATTATCCAACACAGTAACGGAGCCATCATCCTCTTCCTCCTGCGGATCCACATCCAGCAGCTCAATCACATTGGACACCAGATATGGCAAAGTTTTGTTAACCTAAAACAGATTTTTTGTTAAATTTTAGTTAATAGGTAAATACACAGTCAACCCTCACCTTGATCTTCTCTGTATTGTCTTTGATTTTTTCATTTTGCGCCTGAATTTCGTGTGTAATGCGCATAACTTCGCTTTTCATGATTTTAATTTCATTGTCCATCAGGCGAGTCCTGCTCACAATCTCATCCGTGGACATACGCAGCACCTCTTCGCCCAGCGACTCCTCGCCATCCTCCCATATTGACTTGTCTTCAAGAGTTTGGGCCATTTCTAGTTAATGTGCTCTTACAACAAACTCGCTTAAACCCAACTTTTACTGCGGCTAGAATGTTTTCGATGCTTTGCTTTTTAGTCGATGACTTGTAAATTTCGTGTTTTTTCCAGCCTTTGCCGAGTTTGACAGCTAAGTTAGTGTTGTAAAATCGTCCAAACACTATCGAGCTACAGCGAGTACAATACTTCCCGTGTATCGATAATCACGTATTTCACAGCACTGTCATTGACTTGAAGAGAACGCTCTTTTTTTCTTGTAAAAAATTTTGTGTTAAACTACAAATCATAAACATAAATTACAATTGCCATGTCCGAAAATAATGGTAAGTGTTCTAATGAAACTACATAATACTGCTAGCAATGCGCACGGATCTCTGACATGCTCCAACGCCATGCAAAGCCTGAACACACAAACTGCAAACTTGAGATATGATGCTAAAGCTGAATACAATTTCTTGCTTGTTCTTGTTGTATTTTGCAGAAGCGTCGGTTGAAGCCAACTGCTTCAGAGGCGGTTTTACATTGAAAGCATCACGATTAGGCGGAGCTGTCTTGCGGCCAGCTGTGCTCGTCGACAGCTCCGTATTGGGCACAACTAACGCCAACAATAGCAACAATAGCTCCTCCACAGAAGCGGTAGCCGGCGGAATTGAGAAGACTGAGGAAGATGGCTTTGTCGGCAATCCGTTTTTGCGTGAGCAACGCGAAGAGGATGAGGATGCCTCTGCCCAAGTGGTGGAGTCCACAGAGAATACCGATAAGGATGATGACGACATCGATGAGCGGCCGGATCCGCTGTCCATGCTGCGCAACAATGGCATCGAACGCTCGAACATATTCGCTTCGGCCAAAACCACTTTACCGCGTGTACAAACAAGTGGATTCATTTTCGGCCAGAACGTACACGAGCGTGTCACAGGGGTAAATTGAGACCTTATTTATTGCATGGCTATCTAATAATCTCTATGAAAATATATGTATTTTTGTTTTTGTGGTTTGTAGGAAAATGTTAGCACAGAATCGAATGCTGAAGCTGCCACATCGGGCACAGCGGAAGCCACCTCCTCGCCGCTGCAGTTTTCCAGCGTTATTCAGAAGGCTGCCCAATCGACAGATAACAATCGTGAGGCAGCCGAGGCAAAGAGTCTCACGGATGTGGCACGGGAATATGAAGAGAGCCGTGCGCAGAAACGAAAATACGAGGAGGTGGAGACCTTTACCGGCGAGGAGAACGAATTAAATATCGCCGATGTCAGTTGCAAGCTGTTTGCGTTTGTCAACAGCAATTGGGAGGAACGTGGACGTGGCAGTCTGCGTCTCAACGATGCCAAGGATGAGCGCGATTGTTCCCGGGTCGTCTTCCGGACATCGGGCAACTTGCGCCTGCTGGTGAACACTAAAGTCTGGGCAGCAATGGTGGCCGAACGCGCAAGCCAGAAATCACTGCGTTTGACTGCAATGGACAACACTGGCACCATTAAGATATTCCTGGCCATGGGTCGACCCGCTGATATTGCTCAGGTGCACAAGGCATTGAGTGAGCGCATTGCCAAGCGGAAGATTACGCATCCCGACGAGTGCGCCGTGGGGGAAGCTAAAAATGGCATTTCATCGGAATCGTGCGCAGCCAGCGTGCAGCCTGAATCCACTACCAACGATGATGACGATGATGAAGCTGTGGCTGCTGGCGGCGTTATGGATACATTGCCGGTGGGCAGCTCAACTGCGGCTATTGCCGAGGCGGATAGCAATGAGCCCAGCCCAAAGAAGGCACTTATGCAGGCGGATAGCAGTGTGGATATCGTAGTACCGTCTACGGAGGACGGAAGTGATGCTGATGCCGGCGGCAATGCCGAGGCCGAGCCCAAGGAAGGTGCACCTAAGGAAAGGGCTTAGGATTGGCCGGCATAGTTTCGTTCTTCCTTTTTATATTATTAATTTTTTTGTTTCAAAAAAAGAAAACACAAATGAAAAGCCACATCTACTAATTAAATAAAACACATTGTGAATTATTATAAATTAATTATAATAATTTATTAATAATTATGATTATTGAAGTAAAATAAATGGAGTTCCGATTTTGTAAGCCAGGGCGCAGCGTCTACAAAAGACATTTATCAAATACGCTTTCTGTTCTTGTGTCTATTATTATTATTATAATTATTATTATTGTTGCACTCGCATTCCGCTTCGCAATCCGTATTGTTTGTTCTATTAAACTTTTTTTTTTATACTTTAATGACTACAACTAATTCGCTTAAGGAATACTTTTTACAAGATTTTGCGCTTGCACTAAAAATATGTTTTTGTAGAAAAAATAGGCTCATCATTTGTATCATACACACACATACACAGATGTGTATATATATATATATATATATCTTGTACATTTATATATATATGTATGGATATTCGTATAACCTAAATGGAAATTGCAACAATAATGAGTCCAAGACTGCGGCATACTTGATACTCGATTCAACAAAATTACAACACGCACACAAAAGGCTTTGGCTTTGAACAATTTGCTTAATGCTGCTGCTTGGCCTGGCCAATTGATTAATTACAATTACATTATTAACTCTTGAAGCATTCATTTGAACAAAAGAATTTTTGTCAACCGTAACACCCACAACGCAAGCGGCGCCCACAAAATATTTCATATTTATATACAGGAGGAGGAGAAAGTGGCGTCAGTTCTAGCTGATCGTGCTGCAACTGGAGACGGTCACGTTGAGCGGATTATTGGCGCTGCTCACGGCAACCGATGAACTAAAAGTAAAGAAAAACACAAAAATTGATGAGACATATGTAAAATGAGTGGTGTAGAAAATTGTGCTGTGGTTGCACACTTACCGATTGTGGCGCATGTGACTCTTGACTAGATCGCTGTTGACCAGGGCGGCCATTAGGCTCAGCTCGCCGGCCATTACGGTGGCGCAGACAATTTGGGCCAGCTTCTTGGCATTGTCGCCGGGCTGAGTGGCATGCGCGCCGCGCAGGCCCAACATATCGAGACAGGCACCCTGGCCGGGCAGTCCAGTGCCACCGCCAACTGTGCCCACCTCCAGGGAGGGCATCGTGCACGTCATATACAAATCCTCATTGTTATCGGTCCAGCACTCCATCGCTGTGGAGCAATTGCTCGATGTGACATTCTGTGCGGGATCTTGGCCAGTGGCCAAGAATACAGCTGTCACCATATTGGCAGCATGCGCATTATTGCCACCAATGGTGCCCGCCATGGCGCTGCCGGACATATTCTTTAGTTTGTTGCATTCAACCAGCGTCTTGGCGTCCGTTTTCAGTACGGTGCGGAGCGTGGCCGCCGGTATTGTGCATTCGGCAACGACACGCTTGCCGCGCCCCTTTATCCAGTTGATAGCGGCCGGCTTTTTGTCGCAGCAAAAGTTCCCACTCAGTGAAATGATTTGCATGTCGTGAAATTGTCGCTTGATGCAGCGCAACGCCATCTCGGCACCCTTGGACACCATGTTCATGCCCATGGCATCGCCGGTGAGTGCCACAAAGCGTATATACAGCTGTGGGCCATCCATCGCAATTTGGCACTCCTTGAGTCGACCAAAGCGTGACGTTGAATCGAACTCCGTTTTCACCTGCTGGTAGTTCGCATCCTTCTCGATCCACTTCTTGGCTTCGGACGCACGCGCCACACTGGGAAAACGGACGCAGGGCGCTCGAGTCATGCCCACATCTTCCACAACGGAACGGACGCCGCGAACGGACAGAGCCTTGCAGCCACGATTTGTGGAGGCCACTAGAGCACCCTCGGTGGTGGCCATAGGCACATAGTGCTTCTCACCATCCAGCAGTAGGGGGCCAGCAAAGCCAACTGGTATGGGCACATAGCCAAGCACGTTCTCACAGCAGGCGTTCATCACGCGCCGATAGTCAAAGTGTTGATAAGGCAGCATGTCCATGCGTTCCATGGGCATTTGGGCGCGGCTGGCGATTATTTGGCGACGTATTCGTATGCCACGCTCCGGATCTGCCAGCACCGACTCAATCTTGTAGAGCGGACAGTGCGTTCCGCCGGCATTCACAATGGCGATGACTTCCTCATCGCTCAATGCATTGGGGCCGGCAGCGCTGTCGGCTTCGTCGTCCGTACCGTTCAACAGCTCCAGGCATTCTTGCAGTGGGCGTGGCGGACGTGTGGGCGGCGCCACCAGACGTTGACGCATGCACACCAACTCGGTCTGCGTGGCTGCATTTGCGGAGCTCTGCTCCTCGATGGTGAAACGTGGCGTGCGCACAGCTACAAGCTGTTTAGATCTCGTCTCCCTCTTCTCATCCTCCAGCGGTGTGGTCTGTGAGGCTTTTGCTGTGGTGCTTTGACGCAGTTGCTCCTGCAGGGGATCGCGATTATCAAAGCAAAAGAACTTCACCACAAGCGCAATCAGCACAATGCAGATGACGATGTGATCCGCGCTCATCGTCAGCCATCTGCAAAAGTGGGAATACGGATTAGTCAAAAGATTTGGATTCGATGCTGATTTAAAATATAAAATAAGTGTTAATATTTCTTATTGTTAATTTCAATTGGCTTAAGACACTTATAAAAAAAGTATGATTCATTAAATTCGATATAATGTTAATTATTCATTAACTTACTTGATAATGATGTCAGTAATTTCGCCAGAATCCGTGCGATTGTTGCTGACATTAAGATTAAGTGTAGGTGATAGCGTTTTGTCTACGGCATCGTAATCGCTGCTGCTGAAGACGATGCGACTGTAGATATGGACAATCATCAGGCCGGTGCTCATGATTAGCTTGACACGCTGCAGCACCGGATTGGCCTTCTGCTCCTCCTCGGTGAGTGATTTGAGCAGCGACGAACCCTTTGCACGTTCCTGGACCGCAGACATATCAATGCCATTGCGGGACAGATCAAAGATGAGCGACAGGCAGGCGGGATAGAAGGTCATAAAGACCACATAGTTGACCAGCACAGAGAGCACTCCGAACATGCAAAGCAGCTCCAGACGCTGTACGCCCGAAAGCGTGCCCACGCCCACCAGCAGTGCGCCCACAATCGTGTCTAGCGATATTGTGGGACCCAGCAGCTCCAAGCCGCGTGCCAGATTCTGGGTGACCTCCGTTTGGCTGCTGCCGGATAGCGCCAACTGGGCCAGTCGACCCGAATTGGACAAATCGATGACCAGCAGCAGAAAGAAGAGCGCATCTCTGTGAATGGAAATCAATTAATATGATAAAGTGATTATTTTATGTTTGATGTACTCACTTCAAATCGGATAAATCGCTGCCGAGAAACTTCATTATGGCCGTGGTGAATATGAAGCTGGAGAAGACCGTAAAAAGCCCGGCAATGCCTGTACAAATACAAAATACAAACAAAATGAAGTGAGCGCACTTGAATTCTACGTGAGGTTCGAGTTCGAGTTTGGGTTTGAGTTCGCCATGTCCAATTAGCAACAGAGGTCATTTCACTTAGAGACCGCGTGAGAAATGCCACCGACCGGGCCAAAAGATGCCCAGCTAAAATGTTGGCCAAACACTATGCACATGGCAGCCAGCTTTTTTTTCTATTTTAACTACATAAATAGTTTTGGCTGGGCAAACAAAGCATATTCTCAGCCAGCTGCTAATCGCTTAAGTCAACACACGCGTCTTATCTTGACGGGGGCATGACGCAATCTTCACTTACCGAGCACATAGGTTGATCCCTGTCGATGTAGCTTGCAGAACTGATAGTAACAATAGAGCACGGCGGTGCAGCGGACAATGGTCATTAGGATCACATCGGCGGCATTGTATTCCGCTTCGAGGTCATCACACGACTGACTCCACCCGTGGCATGGACGATGCCGACTCGAAGACGCCGATTGCGGTCCGCTGGCAATGATGGGCGGCGGTGCGGCTGGACCATTTGGTGTGACGGTTGATGTAGCTGTGGCACCAGCAGCAGCAGCAGCAGCAGCAGCAGCCGTTGCTGTGGCACTGCTAAGACCATTGCTGGTGTCCAGTGTGCTGCTGCTCGTGTCCACAGTTAGCATGCAGGCGGTGATGGTGAGCATGGCGACAATCACCTCCCACGGATGCGAGGCACAGAATTCGCCATGGGCGCGAAACAAACGTCCAATCATCTTTGCGGCTGCTGCGTTCACTGTGTTCGTCCAGTGCTCTGTTCCTATTTTCCCCAGCACTCGGCTCACTGGTTCCAACTCTGCGGGACGCTATGGTGCACCTAACACGCGCTGGAAATACAAGTATAAAAAAAAAGAAAAAAACAAAAGAGAAAGGATTAGTTTGGGTTTGGGGGTTTGCACTATGGTCAAGGACCAGGCCTGTCAACTTGCCTGCGCCACATAATCGTTGCGCATTAAGTTGCCTTTGAGGCATCAACAGCATCCGAGCGAGTGAAACAATTTAGTATTTAACAACTAAAACAACAACAAGAACATTTATCGATTGCTGTTGACACATTTAGTCGGCTGTTTTGTTCTCGACGCGATAACGACGACCCCAAAGCCGATTGCTGCCACTAAATGAAAAAAAAAAAAACTAGTGGCAATTGCATGACTATTTGATACCCTGCATTGCCTGCGTATAAGAGTTGCCCAATTTTGACTTTGACTTTCAATTGACTTTCCAATTCGAGCTTGAGTTGTTTGACAAAGCAACAGAGGAGTTGTGTTTGAATAATATAAGTGATTAGCGTAAAAATCTTATCTAACTAAGTTGAATTTTCTGTAACTTTTCACAATTGAGCAGCAATAGCAATTTAGACTCCAAAGATTAGACCATAGTTCTAACCAATTGTGTCAACATACCTCGATCTTCATATATATCGCATTGCTATAGATCGAGTATGCTTAAAACTCGAACAACCATTTGTTTTACTCAAATTTAAAACAATTTAAAATTAAAGTTATAAAAAAGAAAAAAGAAAAGTATATAATAAATCATAATTAAAATGTTAATTGGTTCAAGGTGGAATGCAAGGATTTGGAAAATCCAAAACCAATCGGAACAATAATTCTTAATTCTTTCAACTAAACAATTTAAGGAGGGGAGCGATACTCAATCAGACCCAAAATTCCTCAGCTTTAGCAGCTTATTAAAAAGGAAAGCAAGAAGTTAAGAAGGTGAGGGACAATAAGAATGGGATAGACAGTTAAACCAATCAGACCATAAATTGTTCAACTTTAGCAGCTGCGTAATAAGGAAAGTAAAAAGCTATACAGAGAGTGAGAGATAAAGACTCAGACTACATTTTGACCTTAGGGTCGATTTTTATTTGTTTGTGTTGAGTTAATTCCAAAGGTTTTCCAGTATAAAAATATTAGTTATTTATTATAATACCATTTAAAACATTAAAAGAAAATAATTATGTTTGTGTGAAAAGTTGTATTTACCGACAACTTTGAACCTTGAATTGTCATGAGATACTTTCGAGTAATATACCCCAGCTATATACAAATAAAGGCACCGCGTGGGGAATGTGAAATAACTTGCTTCTGCGATTATTTCACTAAGCGGCTTTTGATCGCGTCCTTGAGCAGGCATTGTGCGTATGTTTTCCTTATTGGCATTTTTGTTCGCATCTGCCAATGTTGCTGCTCCGTTCACCTTTCGACTGCACAGCTTTGCGGACTCCCCACTGATTGATGACATAAGCCAGGGCGGTGCCTACACACAGTGATGTGGTCAGCACATCCGCATGCCGATTGCCTGGGGAGCTCAGACCTGGTCTATTAAATGGTCGAGCAGCAGCAGAAGCAGCAGCAGCAGCAGCAGCTGCCCGACTTAATTAAGCCACTTGGCACTTGGCACTTGGCACAAATCTCGGCGGACGATCGACGCTAGCAGCGACGTGCTTGGCATAGTAGACAAGCGAGCGAGCATCCTATCCTGCCCAGGCGCCATAAATATTCAAAGTGTGTCTACGTCTGCGTTTGCGTCTGCTTCTGCGTCTGAGTTTGAGTTTGAGTTATGCACTGCTCCAAGTGCCGTTGCTTATCGTGACAGACATAAAATATGTTTTTCAACTTGAAAACAAAAATACAACGCCCAAGGAGCGAGCCATGCTTTGGCTTGTGTAATCCGAGGCCTTTGGCCATAAAGCACGACAAGAGTAGTCGCCCAGCCTGGCACATGGTTCGATCCATTCTCGGAACGAACACACAAATGTATGCATCAACAAATATGCATTTGTAATAAATATTTTAAAGCATTGCATTTTGGGGTAGCGTGGGCGCTGCTGCACTCACATGGAGAGAACTAGAGAGAGAGAGCAGGAGGAGCAGACGGACTTTGGCAGTGTGTCTCGAGTTTAGAGCTGCAGCGATCGTTAAAAGTGCTGGGCATATAAACAATGAACACATTCTCAGGGGCACTGAAAGCATTTGGTTTTTATTATCCATTTGCAATGGTTGCAATAAAATTCGGGGTAATTGTCGGCTGCTATTTGGAACCATATATACGCTCAGAAAAAAAAGTCTACCTCTAATTTAGAAAATCCCACCTTCTTTCCAAGGTATTCGTTTAATCTTTTATATATGTAGTCAGAAAAATCTTACAATAGTCTTGTTTTAACTTAAATCATCCTTAAACAGAAGTATTTTCCATAGTCTATGTTAGCAGTCGCGATGGCAAATTTCTGAATTTGAAAAACAAATTTTTCGTAAAAATTATTATGCATTTCGTTTTTAAGAAAAATATTTCGTATACAAAGAAAAAGGACTTTCTAATTTAAGAAATGATTTATTTAGAAATGATGCATTTCGTTTTAAATTAGATAGATTTTCCCAGTGTAGATGTATACAACATTTTATGGGCAAAGGCCAAAGCAAACAAAACGCCTCAAAGGCCAGGGATGAAAGAGTAGATCAAGATCACAATACCATAAAGGGGAAAAGTTAATGCATCACGTACATTTAGAGCTATGTATATATTTATAAATTAGTATACCTTTATTTGAATCCAAAACAATTATGAAAAAAAAACTATTCTAAGCTGCAAAACTGACTCTCTCACTGAAGGCAAGTTTTGCAAGACTTTTAAGCCAGGAATTCCATGTAATCTGGCAATGGAATACAATTAACAACAAATAATAATCTATATCCATCTAAACAATATAATTATCTTAAAAGGGTCAGCGGTTAGGATAAGAATCGATAAGAATCTGCCTTACAGTCACTGATAAGTTTCCAGAAAATTCTCTACATAAAAATGTAGACACTTTGAAAAGCATTTTCCGATTTATAACAAATAACAATCTTATTCTGCAAATAACTCTTCTTTTTTTTAAATTATAATTGTGATTATCAAAGAACCTGTATCTTTGACAGAGAATAGAAATACATGATGTGCTTAAGAGTAATTAGTAGATTCGAGTTAAACACAGGTCCTACGGAACAATAATGGTTTTAAAATGAACCCAATAGAATTGTAGGCAATGCTTATATGGCCTCACCTTAAAAGCAAGCTTTACAAATACTGAATGCAATTCATTACATGAATACCTTTGGCTCGTCGAAGACACTGCCTACAAACTGATAAACTCAAGTTACTTGAAGAGTTTATTTTGCACTTGAAAAGTAAGCAGTTGGTAGCACATTAAGAAACTGATGTTTGTGGTATATCACAAGCAAGTAAATATTAAAGCTAACTTGCAAGTGGTTTTATGATCTAAGATCTTTTTCGAATGTCTAAATCATAGGTTGGTAACGCCCTTCACTCACAAATCTTTGGGGTTTTTTTTTTCGAACAATAAATATTTTCAAGAGAATTCGCAAAACTTATACAAATAGACTGGACTGGACTGGGCTGTGATGTTGTCACGTACCTCAGACAGATCAAATATTTACATACCGCTAATTAAATGGGATCGCTTGCTTTGTATTCAAAGCCATCGCCCCGATATTGATAGATAAATCAACATCGTGTAGTGCCACATTTATGTAAGTGTATTGAGCGATGTCTATCACTAAATAAGTTTTATGATCCTAAGATAAGATTTGAATATTCCAAGCTGACTCACAAAATGATATGAATGAATAGCTACGTAAGTAAAGCTCAATCGGAGCATGAATATGTAAATATTGTGGTTTAAATATTTGCTGAAATGTGTAAACCTTTAGCTTTCTGTATTATAATCCTGTCAAAGCGAGCAAAATTTATTTTTGTTCACGTTAACTGATTTGTTTGTCACAACACCAGCTAAAAATAGCTTCAGTTATTTATTTTTATTTGGCTTTTAAGCATGAACTTTAACAGTAAGATATGAGCATAAATATAACTTGAACTTATGACCTCAACTGGAAGCTTTATTTTGTACGCATATTTGACTCGTTTCTTTTCTTTCCATTACAATACGCAGTCAATAAGAGGCACAACAAAATGAGATTCTCTAACTTCAACTTCCTGCCTCGAAACTCATTGCAGATAATTGAGACTGATGATGATGATCACTGCGGGAAAATTTGCAATAGTGGAAATGAAATTAAACATTTCTAAGTTCTTGACAAGATGTGGAGTGGCCGCAATGCTAATGAGCCTTGCAAAATACGTTTTGAAAAATTAATTCTCATTTTTATCGGATGGTTTATTTTGGTATCACATACAAGCAGGCGAACAGAGCCATAATACTAACAACTAGCAACAACAAATAGAAGACACCGCTGAGCTGTGAAAAACAAAGTAAAAAAAAAGTTCTACTGAATGGCGAAATGTTTAAACTTAGCGCTATGGAAAATTGTAGGAGCTAGAACAGCAACAAGCAGCAAAGCGCGCTCGACGGGTGTAATACCCTATAAAAATGCATTTAGTTACTTATATATATATATATATACTCAGGCAATGCATTACGTTATCTATTTTGAATGATTTCTGACCTTATTTTTCGTTTGGTTTGCCTGCGCATTGTAAAGAATGTGTTTACTTTATGGGCGAGAAGTGTTTTCATCTGACTGTTTATAATACACGGTTTGGCCATTTCGTGTGGCTACAGGGTATTTATACAAAAATTGCTGACGTCCTCAACACTGCTTGTATGTATGTGTATGTGTGTGTGTGTGTGTGCTTCGCATTGTGCTGCATGCTTTTTCGTTTACATTTGAAAAGCACTCGCCAAACGGATGTTGGTCTCGACCTCAACCTTACGAAAGCAGCACGCAGCCAGCAAGTGGGAGGGAGAGAGCGAGAGGGGGCACAAAATAGATGTTAGCAAAAAGAAGAGAAACTCGCATAACAA